TTTTGAAGAAAGAGCAGCCGAATTTCACAAGCATCATGGGTAATTAACCAGACAACTAATTTACATTTTGTTAATTAACAAATCATTCTATTATCTTATGATTGTGGTTATTAATTATTAATATTATTTTTGTGTAAAACTTTTAAACATGGTTGATCTTATGACTGATATTTCTTAATGTCAGTGACCAGCAATCAGCATGTCTTTCTGGCTATATACTAGTCTAGATGCTCTATCACACAGAGCCACAGAAGACTCGTGGGAGTCAATTAGAGGTCATTAAATTAGGGTCATGTGACAAACATCCTAAATGCTGCTGGGACTGAAATGTTGTTAGGTTTATAACCTTAATCAAATTTTTTTAGCCTTCCCTCTCCTCTCCCCACCATAATAAAGATGTGCAGATTATGTTGGCCAGGCCTTGGTACCTCTATTTTACTACTTAAGGGCCATAGGTACAGCTGTCTGTGTGAAAAACTGATAAATATAATTTATCTTTTTAGAGGCCAAAGCCCAGCTGATGCTGAGTTCAATTTTCTTGAGGTTGCAAAAAACTTGGATTTGTATGGAGTAGATCTTCACTTTGCTAAGGTACATAAGTGCATTTTTATCATGTTGATAAATGAGCAACCAAACCTACCAATAATTATTGACACCTCTTTAACCCTTAAAGTTGGTTTTCACTAGCAATGGAGTCGGAGTGGGAGTCAGAGTTGTAATCAGAAGTGTAGAACTTTATGACCCGATCTAGTGAAAACAGCATTTCAATAAAGAGGATAGACTTAATAATTCAGTTCTTGTACTTTATGCCGCTGAATGTACCCTGCGAGCAGAGACTACATTTTCGCTGTGTGAGCTGGTGTGCGAAAAGTAGCTTCTGCCGACAACCATTCTAATCCGTCCAGAAATCTGGACTCATAAATTAAGAAACAGGTTTTTTGCTGTTCTTGACTGGTTTAATTTAGAGCATTGCGTGAGTCTTGCGTGAGTCTTGTGTAGCAGATCAGAGCTGTCGTAATTTTTTTATTCCTGCGAAACTCGTGCCATTTGACAACAGACCTGACAATTAATTTTGCTTGGGAACTGCATGACGAATTTCATGCATTCATGAGAGAAAATTGAATGGTTGTCAGCAGAGGCTACTTTTTGCAGGACAGCTCACACAGCGAAAATGTGGCCTCTGCTTGCAGGGTATGCTGAATGCTGCTGTGGATCCGTAATGAAGGGTTGAGTTCTTTGTTGAACACCCTGAATCACTTGCTGCATGTAATCTCTCCTGACTGTTTTCGCTGAAGCTTGGTAAATCATACAAACATGTAGACTCATGACACCCCTGTTAAACCTTTGTTCTCTCCCTTGATGGGCCTTCTTTTTAGGATCACGACGGCCTTGACCTTCACATTGGAATTTCTCCCCTTGGCTTGACTGTTTACCACAACAGATGTAAAATAAACTTCTTTCCATGGTATGTAGGGTTTACTATTAGACTACAAAACCATCATCTCATTATCAGAATTGTTTTTGTTGGTTTTTGCGGTGGTACTGTGCCATAGGGAAACAACCAATCATATCTGAATATTTATATATGTATGTAAGACTAGCCTGAAAGCCATAGTCTGATAACATGCAGCTGTGTTTTGATCTCTAATGTGACTGGTCATGATATATTTAACATTTTTTTTAGATATTTCAGAGATTCATGATTTGTGTTTGACAGAAGTCTTTTTGGCACTGCAGAGGATAATCCAGTTAATTATTGTTCCTCAACAGAGGCAAACATTTTGAATTGCACTACAGAAACGTCTGTATTTTTTTTAAAACTGTTTTCTGTAGTAGTGAAGGAGTTAAGGTTATATTTCAGGAACTTTGTGATTCATTTATTTGTTTTTTAATCTGTTTTCTTGGCAGGTCAAAAGTTGTCAAAGTTTGCTTCAAAAGAAAACGATTCTTTGTGCAGATCAGACCGGACTGGGTAAAAATAGTTTTGTTTTTCATACATATACAATATTCTGCACCTTCCACCAATAATTTTGCTAATGCACGCAGTTTCCAAACCTTGATGACTGTCTCGTACAGCTGTCTGGCGCTTGAGGCCTTCCAGGGGATCATTACCTGACTCTGTCCACCGCGGCTACTGTGCGGTGGGCTGTCTCATGCCGAGTCAGTCCTTTGTTTCACATCCCCTTTTCCACTGTGCAAACCAAACTTGTTTAATCATTGTGCTAAATCCTTGTTAGTCCTGCGGTGTTCTTACCTGACCGCGGTATTGCATCATTTCGGGAAATGCAGCACGATAATTAGCCTAAGGGTTCCCAACGGCGCAAAGAAGGAAAAAAAAACTATTACAAAACGTACGTAAACATACGTACATTTCCTTATAATATAAGCCAAAATTTAATTGGTTATGGCGTCTTTAGAAAACACCCATCATTATCTAAGACTCAGACCTGTGAAAACGTTTAGTTAAACTGTATCTAAAAATTGTGACCTGCTTTTCTCCCTCGTGACCCCCTATTAGCTTCTGTATGGGTCCTGTGGACCCCAGTGTACGAAATCCTGGTAAGAGTGCTGGTCCTGGTAGGGGAGGAATACAATAATTATCAACTGATGCATAAAGGCACTTAAGTTAAGGTGTCCTTTCATTGTGATGTTTGCTCTGATTGGGGTTGATGGTAATGATGATGATGATAATGATGATGATGATTATGGTGATGGTGGTGGTGGAGAAGAAAAATTTTGTGATGATTTTGCATACAACCCCACTCTGTTTATGATCTATCGGCGTCATGTTTTTGTCTCGCAAGGATAATACTTTTACGAAGTTCGATCGGATTTGCAGATTTCAATGTGTTTACTTGATATACTCTTTGCTGATCAGGTCCTCTATAGATCCTGTGTCTTGTGGCATCATCTTTTACTGTCAGTCCTTTGCAGTTGATGTTCACTTTTTACTTTTCTTTGCAGAATGAATGGACTGATAATGTCATAGGTTTCCACATGCCTACTTACAGAGCATGCAAAAACCTATGGAAAACATGCGTTGAGTTTCACACCTTTTATAGGTTTGTATCAAATGGTTATGTAATTATTTTTTTGTGGAGAGCTTTTAAAGTTGTTTGTCATAAGCTTGAGTCTGGTCTTCTCTCTCTGAAAATTTCAAGGTTCCCCCTTTCAATCTTACACCAAGATTTGGCAACGTGATTTCTCTCTCTAACTGTTAAATCCGTGGATGAAACGCTATTGTGCTACCATTCAAATTCAGTTCGAGCCGTTGTGGCTGTAGTGTAGATACAAAAACGAGCAACTATCAGGGAAAGATTGACCATGCGGAAGGCTACAAATCAAAGTACAGTGCTGTGGATATGTGACTGTCATTCTTGACTTGACGTTTTAAATTTACTCCTTTCACCTCACTCCCGTGATTTTCTTTAACCCTTAAAGCCTCAATATCAACCTACAAATTCTCCACACTGACCATCAAAAATTTCCTTGAATAATTGATTGACAGAATTTGTTTAAAGATCAAAGGATTTTCTTCCAGTTTGTCATTTTACTATTTCTCATATACTTTTCTTTTGATGATGTATTGATATTATTAGGAGAAAATTGATCTTGATCACTCTTGGGACTTAAAGGTTAAACAGAACATAGAAATTATATTTATGTTTTTTAACTGGCACAGGTGTGACAGAAATGAATGTCGACTACTCTTTGAAATCATACTCGTGGAAGACACCAAATCAGTGATTTCGTTTGATCACTTGTTTGACCACGCACTGTCACAGTCCTATTATGCTTATTTACTTTTTTTTTTCTGGTTTCATTTTTTAGGACTCACTTCCCCAAGCCATCGAATTCCAAGAGTTCATTGGTGAGAATAGGCTCCAAGTACAGATACAGGTAAGTAACTGTCTTTAATTTGTTTGTATTATGATTTCTGGTAATACAGTCGAACCTTCCATAAGCGACCACCCAAAATGCAAAGACTGAGTGGTCGCTAACGGAAGGTGGTCGCTTACAAAAATCGAACCACAGGTCGTCTCTTCCGAGAAGAGGTCCAGGCACATTTACTTTATGGAAGATCATTTATTGTATGCAATGTCTAAGTTAGGATATGTGACGTCTAGTTCCATGTTGTCACTAAAGGTCTTCGTATGTTCTGTTCTAAATAGCATAGTGTACAAAGCGAACACAGAGAACAGAGAATGCGTCGAGTGGTCGCTTACAAGAGGTTAAAAACAATGGAAAATCTTTAACCGTCAGGCCCGCGGTCGCGTACAGGAGGTGGTCGTTTACTAGAGGTTCCAACTGTAAGGCTTTGACTGGGAAAATGTTTGTGTTTTGTATTGGCGGTCTCTTATGGGAGGTGGTTGCTTACGAGAGGTGGTCGCACATGGAGGTTCGACTGTATATTTTTTAATCAATGAGTTCATGATCATGATAATTTTCGTTTCCGTTGTCGTCACCGTTGTCGTTATTGTTATCGTTCTGATGGGCTTATTTAATACCCCGAGTAATTCTTCCCAACCAGATGGTGTTGACCTTATTAAGAAGTCATCTAAGATTGGCTCTTGTCCGCCGAAATAAAAATCTTTTCTTTTGTGTTAATACCAAAGACTATCATTATGCAGATGAATAAAATCAACCTTAAGCATACTGTATATAAATTGTCAAACCAACTTAGTAACGTTATTGTAGTGACTATATGCAGGCTGCAATTAATAATCTACCCGCAAATCTCTTGCCTACCAAGGCTTCCATGTACAATTTCGTTTAAGGTGATTCCCTAGTTTTGCACTGCGCATCTCTTACTGCGCATAACAAGATGGCCGCCGTAAAAGAGAGCTTTGAAGTAATATTATTAAAATGAAGTTGACTGAAGAGAAACGCTATTGGAATTTTTGCTTGCTGTTGTTTCTTGCCGAGGTGAGACTCAATGGGTTGGGAATCTGCATAACGTAAGCAGTACGCGTGTTGCTGAGTTCGACCTCCTCTCGGAGAACCTCGATTTTGGATGTTTAACTTGTGCTTACTCACTTTGATTTTCATTTAAACACTTTCTTTATCACACTGTGTCCTAAATGTGATATCTCGATGTAAATTCTGTAAAAACGGATTTTTTAATACTTTCTTCCCCCTTTCACATACATTCTATTTTGAAACTCGCCCCAGTCCTCTCTCAAAAATCGGAGAAAATGCGTTTGGTGCACACTTTCTGCAGCTCTACCGCAAAAACGAGTACCGTGACCCCCATTTTTTATTTCATGATTTTAATAAGGACGGTGCTTCCTTTCGATGAGAAAAAAATTGGCACAAATCTATGTTCAGTTTTTTGGCAATTTTACTAAATTGTACGGATTGAGCCATCACGGGTCGAAAAGCGCGCGTCCAATTTAATTCTACTTTGGAGCGTAAAGTAAAAACAAGGGCATTAAAAGGCATTTTTCTGGTACGTAAGTGGATAAACAATACATTAAAGTCAAATTCTGTGTGATGTCACATGCATCATCGAAAAAATCTCTCCTTTTTGTCTAGTTTTGCGCTGCCCGCGGTTTTTGTAAAAGGGTCCTAAATAGCCGTATTTGTCAGCATTGTGACGTCAAAACGAGCACGGTGACCCCCACTTTTTATTACTTTTTTATCATCTTCTTGACTTGTTACATCAGTGTGCCAAGTTTTAGCTAAAATCTATGTTAGGTTCTTTTACTATGGAATCACCTTAAGGTGGATAATGGGTCCTTCATCGAGTCCGACCGACCCCAGCTTAGTCCCCAGGCGTTTTCGGCTCGGTCATTCCTGGACTCTACCATGAGCTGTGACGTCACCTCGCCCGCTCTTTCCCAGACTTCGCGCGGACAACGGGTCAAGAGAGAACGCCTAGAGACGAGGCTGGTCCGACCCCACATTTGTCTTTCTCAGAAAGAAAATTATTTTGCAGCTCTGGTAAGACACTGAAAACGAATATTTTTTGCTCAGAGGTAAGACAGAATATCAAGCATTGGAAGAGGGAAGAAGACAGCCTCGAACTGAACCTAGAATTGTCAGGTATCTTAAAATAATTCAAGTCGTCATAATAAACCACTTTCGATATATTAAAGTTCAGTATGATAGCGAGTTTTAGAGGACTCAAATTGTAAGACTCGCTATCATTCTGAATTTAGCGATTACATACAGATAAACTGCATTATGTCTCGAGAAAAAGTCTTTAATTTGATTTTTTTCCAATTATTTTGCAGAACGCTCAGCAGACGCTACTCCAAAAGAAATGATGATGGTGAGACTAATTGAACATGAATTTAGGGCAATTAACGTGTAGAATTATCAATACGTGTTGTCTCTTTTTAAAGGCTATATTCTCACTATTCCGGACAGCTTTCGCCCCGGCACGAAAACCATACCGTACACACCTGACTGTAGGGCTACTCTTCACACAGGAACGTTGATTTCGGCGCAATTTCTGTAACAGAGCGAAGCTACGCCGCGCCGAGCACGAAAGTGTAGAGTCACATATTTAGATAGGTGTTCATACTATACGGGATAGATTTTCGTGTCGGCAGGAAAAGGTTTCCGGTACAGTATGAACACAACCTGCGAGGTTAAAAAGCAAGGACATGGAAAATTACTGAGATTTGTCTTAATGATTTACTGGATCCGTATTCACGGCGCATTCATAACTATTAAACTCGGGTTTTTACTTGTTTGTTATCGATCAGGTTCGCGCCGAAGAATTGATTTGGATCACATCTTCGACAGGGATGATACAGTATTCAATGACGGAGCTCCTAACTCAACTGGAATCAATTATTCATCTTCCGTTCCTTCGAATTTCGACAAGTAAGCTTGTGCTTTGTGTTTGCTACTATATCCAGTCACCTCGCCACCAACGAAACAGCTGACAAAATCGCCAGCATGACCAAGAAGTAGACTCGCCACCAAGACGCAGGATTAGACGAGGTCTCGGACGAAAACCCCTGTCCATAGGTTTTCTTAAAGCCAGTGGATTGTTATGCCAGTGTAAATGACTTGCTCCCACACTTGCTCCCTATCTTCACGCAGTTCCGCCCGTTAATCCAGCGAGCTACGCAGCCGTCACAGTTGGTGGCGAGTTGGTTGGTGGCGAGTCTACTTCTTGGTGGCGAGATGACTGTAAACTGTTAGCTGTGGTATACTTTTAAATCTAAATGTGTATGTTGTGTGCTGCTTTTCTTCATTGTGATACATTGTGATGATAAAAGCCTATTTAAATGAAAGTCTTCGACCTAGCGTGCGTTTCTCAAAACCTCCCGAAGACATATTAGTCCCCCAAGAGTGAAGCTAAATAAACAGGATGAAGTTTGAAAGAACGCAAACTATTTTTGTAGGTGACATTTTTACCGCCCTTGTCGTCGTGCTGTTTGGTTGCTTAAGCACCCTTATAACTCCCGAGTCTCGTCCCCTGGCTCAGTGATTTTTATAACTAACTTTGATTTCTTCATTTAATTTTGTTAGAATGAATCACTCGTTAGTCAGAAGCAAAAGTCTTGGAGTTGGCGATGAGATCCAAATGAGCCGACTGAAACCAGCTCTCACGCCAGAACTCCAGGTACAATGAATAACTTGGTCTTGTGAAGTCTTTTTTGTTTCTCAGTCGGTGACTCAGCCGTCGCGTGAGAAAATTGACCTTCTGGTTAATTGCTTGTCTAGATGCGCTCAGCTATACTGCAGCTAGTTACAATGCATGCAGTAAAACTGAGCAGGTTGCTAAAAACCGCTTCTGTTACTTCAATGTGCCTTAGGTATAGAAATCCTCATGGTTACAAGAGATTTTGCTCATCTTCCCGTTTAAGTTACGTACCAGAAACGTTGCTGCAAACCAAGTTAAATGACGATGTTACGCATTTTACAATACCACCCACGAATCAAACCTGTCTTCCAATGAATCAGGTTGTTTCAGGTTGCGAAACGTTGTTGCAGAAAGTAAAGAGTAGTTTTACTTTTTGCAACAAGACCTGTAGATATTGTGCATTTTACCGGCCCAAGATTAGCCTGCGTTTAGCCCAAGTTGTAAGTTCCGTGTATGGCGCGACTTCCGCGTAATTTTTTATCCAGTCAGAATTTAGGATTCACGTAACTTGCAACAGGCTCAGTGATTTGTTGCAAGACAGGTTTTAACCTGGATGGTAAAACGCGCAACATGCTTTACAAGTCGTTTAGCAACAATCTTGCGAAACATGTTGCACTTTTTTGTTACCTGTTTTGCCGTTGTTTTTCCGTAGCTTTATGTTCTTGCTGGTGTATTTACTAATTAGCATTCTAGCCTACTGGTAACAAAACTTAAGCATTTCTTCCTGGAGCCCACATTAACTTTTTACATATTAACTCTTGCGTGTAGGCAAACAGCTATTACTGTGATTCTTAACAGCTCTGTCGTCTGTTCTATTATCTTTGTGTCTCCTCTTCTTCCTTGTCTTTAACTCAGCGCAAAAGTGTTTCTTCAAACGATTCTGTAACTTCTGATGTGGAACAAGAAAGCAGAGGTTTTACTGCTCGGGTATGTAGGAGAAGAGGAAGGCTTTTTCAAATGTGACACTCTCACAAACCACTCTCACTTTTCGGTTTCGTGTACCTTAACATGTCGCTTCTACTCTTCCATTCTCTCCACTTCTTGCTTTGCTACACCTAATTGCTAATATCTATATGAAACTATACTTGATAACTTTATTTTTTGACGTAGTGGGAAAAAAATTCAGTGCAGCGAGATAGACCGAAGGGCTCTCTCCCTTTCTCTTCCTCGTTCCCCTCTTCGCACTGTCCTCACTATCTAAAGGCCCTGAACAGGCTAACGGGAAGATTGTTACATAATCTTGAAGCTCAGCAACGCTACATACGTACATCTGAGGGTGGTATATTAGTCGGGGTTGCAGATATGACATTGCAATCTTTGCAGTGCAATAGTAAGGCCAGTCGCATGCGACGTAATTGGACGCAATGACTGGAAATTTTAACGTCACGCCGCGGTTGCTCAGAATAGGGATAGCTTTATCAATTGGGCAAATCTCTTTTAAAAAGGTTACATGACTGGCTTAGCTGTAACCTCTCTTGGAGACGTTCTAAGGGCTTCTTCACGCGTTCCTGCCCCACAAGAAAACGCTCGACGAACCCTGTTTGTTAGGGAGGCTAGCTTTTCTGACATATCTTGCTTTGTTTTGATTGATCGATTGATGGATTGGTTGATTGATCGATTGATTGATCCATTGATGGATTGACTGACTGATTGATCGATTGGTTGATTGACTGATGGATGGATGGATTGATTGATCGATTGATGGATTGATTGATTGATCGATTCGTTGATCGATTGATAGAGGAATTGATTGATTGATGGATACATTGATTGATTGATTGATTGATCGATCGATCGATTGATTGATTGATTGATTGATTGATTGTTTCATAGATTGGTTGAAAGGTGATTTATCCCGTCGATTGAAACACCTTCTCCGATTTTTTTCCCGTTTTGTGGTGTTTTGAGAGGTCTTGATTTTCTCATGTTTTTTTCCCCTTTTATTTTTCCTTCAGAGAAATGGTTCTGCCAGTCAAGAAGGTCTTATGACTGTCAGGTAAAATAAAAAACTTTTGGGATCATTACTTGCGCCGTAAATTATCGTCCAGTTAACTTGGAAACGTACTATGTTGGCAATTTGGTTTGTTCGCCAGCAATAGAAAGATCAAACCAAGCTTTGAAGACCTTCAAATATTTCTTTCGAATAACTTACTTTAGAGATTAAATGTCAAGGGTGGCTCGCAGTCCGCGTGCGTTTGTCTCTCTCTCAATCAAGTTGCTTCCTTTTAGATTTTTCGTGTCCTCGCGTGTTCCCGCGTACTAAATTAATTATTGAACACGCAAATTCCTTCATTAGCGTACCGGTTTAGTCACCAGGGAACGTTCAATTCCAATTGCACTTCTTACGAAAGCAAGAGCTCTTCATTGATAGTTACTTGCTAGCTTTTATACACCTGGGCTATTTCGAAGTTTTTGGTATTAGTTTTCTGTTAGTCACTTTGTAATTTCTATTTTTGATTATTTTTATTGTAGAATGGAACCTGATGATCAGGGAAGGTTTGGATTCAATGTGCAGGTACGAAATAATGGCTCATGTATCCTTTTTTTTTTCAAGGGCAGATTGATGGTTTAATACAACTTACGCCGCAGCTGTAAAAAAATTGTGATTCTTTTGAATATTTTTAGGGCGGTGCGGACATAAACTTGCCAGTAATTGTGTCGAAGATCGCTCGAGGAATGCCGGTAAGATATTAGTCTTGCTTTTCTAAAGGCAGTATTACGAAGACAGGCCAAGTGATAAGCTGTGATTGTATTGAATGTGATGAATTCATATAACGATTCAATAACTTTGAAGGTTACGGATGACACCTGGAGGACAAATTTTGATGGTGTTTATCGTTGCTGGCTACCTTGCCGGAGTCGATTGCGTTCAAAATTTACAGGGAAATACACCCTGATTGATCAACAACTTTCTTGTTAACAAAATTCTAGGATACCTTTCAGGCAAACGGCTCGAGAAATTCTGCTATCATTATGTAAAAAATTGGTTTGCAGAAACATTGTCCCTATGCAGTTTGTTAATCGGTATGTCACGCCTTTGCAGCTCAGCTCATACTTTGAATAGGTCATTTCCGAGTGCAAAAGTATCTCTTTCAAAATGAGGTTAAGTGTAAAACCTTTCTTGTGAAAACGAGTTTTATTTGCATTAGAATAAAAATTCATTTTCAGATCAAAAAGACAATGGTTTCGCTTTTAGCCTCGCTTTGAAACAGAGGCTTGGGGTAACTCAGAAATGGGCTGTTTATCGCTAATGAAAACGTACATTTTGTATGTTTAGGCCGACATGTGCATGCCGCAGCTACAAGAAGGAGACGAGATTGTTCACATCAATGGACGGATAGTGAAAGACCTGCCACATCACGAAGTAACTACAGTATCTTTTCTTTTCTCCTGTTTTTATTTGATTTCTTCTTTTGAAAAATCATTTTGATGGGTAATCTATAGATACAGCCCAGCCTCAAATATGGGACGTTATATACTGTTCAGAATCCCCTATTTTTCCGTAAGATCGTCGCGTTGCGTTACAGTCGGAAATCTTGGATGAGTGTCAGATCGGTTGGAGAGGAGGGAAGAAAAATATCTCCCTCTCCCGATCGCTATAAACCCCGACTCCGCCCCCTCGGGACACATGAACCCCAGATGGCCGCACGTACTGGTTAGCGCTCAATCCTGGCGATCTTACGAAAAAAACAGGGTACTGTGAAGAGTCTAAGGAAGTTAAAACTACAGAATTTGGATGATTATTCGGAGGGGTGGGGGAAGGGAGACTCCCATATAAAACAGACGGAGTGATATCGGAAATTTTGAACTAACCCCCTGAAAGAGACCAAACTGGGTGTATGGCTCAGGCTGAGTTCATTTAACCCATGATAGATACCAAAATACTCAAAGTAGATTTCTTCGCGTGAAGACCCTAATGAGTCTTACGATACAATGACGGCTAAAAGTGTTGTAAGTGTTTTACCCTTAGTACACTATGTAAGACAGAAAGTTTTACCATAGCATACTAAGTGAGACAGTAATCCAAAATTTACACCCCTAACCCGGACGACGAGCATTCCGGTCATTTTTTTATTAGAATTACCCCCCCCCCCGGGTGGGGGGGAGCGTGGTATCGCCAACGGGAGGTGCAAGGAAAGTAAGAAAAAATGGTTTGTTGTGAATCTCGGTGTGTCATTCATTTAACTCTTCACTTTTCCTTTGTTTTAAGATTGTGGAGCTTATACGAACCATTAGCAAATCAAACCGAAGACTTCTTATAATGACGATACGACCTAACGGTAAATACGTCAGTTATCTTTCTGCTTTGAACAAATACATTCAACACCCGCACATAAGAACCTAATATTTCGGGTTTCACACTGACCAAGTTCTTATTTACCGGGTGCTGAGTGAGAAATCAGCATGAAAATGTTCTTGATTTTTTTTTTTTTTCAGAAATACTGTACATTATACATGACTAGTGTTTTAATTAACATGCAATGTTTACATTCTATGATTATTTAGATCCGCCACTTAATCGCACTTTCTTCTTTGATCCTATTATTCCGGAAGATATCAATTTAGAAATTTCAGTTTTGCAAGACAACAAGGCCCATGGTCTTTACTCATCTCCAGTTAGGCTGCTGAAATTGGCAAAAAGGGTCATATCCGTACCTCTAGCCACGATTTTTAATCAGTCTATTTGCTCAGGGATTTTTCCATCTAAACTAAAGTGTGCTAAGATTATCCCGATATTTAAGGACGAAGATGACACGCTGCCCGAAAACTACCGACCTATTTCTCTGCTCTCGATTTATAACAGGATTTTTGAAAAACTTATGTACTCCAGAGTTACCAAGTTTGTCAAAGATTGCAACATTCTCTATGATCAGCAATACGGTTTTCGCAGTAAGCACAGTACTCAGCATGCTGTACTTGATATTGTTAACACAATTCTCCAAAACATGGACAACGGTAAATTTTCGTGCGGTGTTTTCATCGATCTCAAAAAGGCTTTTGATACTGTTAACCATGAAATTTTGTTAGCTAAACTTGAAAATTATGGTATTAGAGGTGTAATCAACTCCTGGTTCAGATCATACCTGACTGATCGGAAGCAAACTACGGAAGTTAATAATGTTGTGTCTGAGGCTGAAACGACCTTGTGCGGCGTGCCACAAGGCTCAGTCCTCGGACCACTCTTATTCCTACTGTACATCAATGATATTTACAAGTCCTCTTCGTTATTTGCCTTTTATCTATTTGCTGACGATACTAGTATAATACTTGCAAATAACAACCTAAAGGAACTCGAAACACTTGTTAATCGCGAGCTTGGCAACGTCAACGAATGGCTAAAGGCCAACAAACTGTCCTTGAACATAAAAAAATCAAATTTTGTAATCTTTCGTCCCCGGCAAAAGAATATGCCCTTCATACCTAGGATTAGAATTTTTGACTCCGTGACTAACACCTACGCAAACCTTGAAATGAAAGATTATGTAAAATATCTTGGCTTAATGATTGATTCAAATCTTTCATGGAAATACCACATCGAATCTATCTGTCACAAAATCAGCAAGTCGATAGGAATTATAGCTAAAATTCGACATTATGTCCCGCGTCGTGTTTTACTTTCAGTTTACAACTCATTAATTGTCCCTTACTTGACTTATGGTATTTGTGGTTGGGGAAATTGTGCCTTGACATTTCAAAGAAAGATCGTAACTCTACAAAAACGGGCCTTACGTCTCATTTACTTCAGTAAGTCTAAGGAACACGCCGTACCCTTCTTTCTCAAATCAAATTGCCTTCCCCTGTCTAGCATATTTTTCAGAGATTGTAGCTATTTATTGTATGATATCAACAGACAGATAGCACCAGTTAGTATTCTCAATCAGTTCGTTAAAACAAGTCAGATTCATAACTACAGAACAAGATCTGTCTCTAGCGACTCGTTTTATGTTAAGTTCTCTAGAACCGATAAAATGTATGCCTTTTTCACGAGAATCGGTGCCCAAATTTGGAACTCTATTCCGTATTCGATTAAAATACTTAAACGTTCGTCCTTTCGTAAAAAAATAAAGGAATTATTACTAAATTTTTTGCGGTCAGAAGATGATTATGTCGAAGTCTCCCGTCTTATTAAGTTATTTAATACTTTAGGTTAGCCTCTCTTCGTAATCGTTATGTACATGCCTTGTTTTATGTTAGTTTAAATTCTATTTACTGTATTGTAGTGTCTTCACTGTTATTTAGTCCATCTATATATAAATCTTGTTTTGTAAATTGTGTTCAGCTCCCCCCGCCTCGATTAGTTCATAAGCTATTTGCGGGTGGGAAAGTAATGTAATTAGTTATTTTCCGATTTTCAATAAAATTTGTTGTTGTTGTTGTTGTTATATTAGTTACTGTAATTTACCATTACGTACTATTATGTATTGCATGTATGGCGCTAAAGTTTATATGGTCCAGCACACCAAAGCCCTTTTATGAGTTACTGTATTGGTTTCCTTTTTCGTATTCTCTTTATTATATAAGAACATTTTTTTAAATATCAGGCTGAATTGGTTCTTGTATATATGTTGCTTTATTGGCCAACTTTCAGCCTCATGTTCTTTATCCACTTGTTCTTATAAGCGGGTGATAACTGTATCCTTTTAATGCGAACTGATTATTCAACTTAACTCTCGTGCTATGAGACCGATTGTGATTTCCGTTGACCATTTTAATTCTTGTCTTAGTTTTCACACATTCGCCTCGGGATGGTTCACCAGTTCACATAGTCAGTCCAGAGCAGTTTGCTGCTGCTGAACACAAACATGAACAGGAGCGAAATATCGCCAAGCAAGAGAAAGAGAAGGCTCCACCAAAGGATACCGAAGCGCTTCGAGTTTCAATGGATCAACTCCGAGAGGTATTGTCTTTGCTGGTATACTTTTCATTTCCTTGAGAAAGATAACTCACAGATTGCTGTTAACCTTATATTTTCTTACACATACCATTTCTTCTGTCGCTTTTAATGTACGAGACGTGTACCTCGTAAATCTCAAACCAGCAACTACTAGCAACTCGCAACTCGCAACTCGTGGCTCGCAAACTTAGAACGTGCAGCCTAGTCTATCTCTCTAGTGGTGTACAACTTGATCAATGAAGCCTTCAAGGCAGCTCTCCATTTTGAGTGGCGAGGGAAGCGAGCTGCGAGAGAACCCACCAGTGAACGGTAAAGGCGCGAGGGGCTGTGATCGCTTGGGTGACTCCTTTCGCGTGCAGGACGCATGTCTTCTTTCATATTACCCAATTGGCGAGCTCGCTCGCATACTAGATCAATTTTACCATATTTACGTTGGAAAAACAAAACTTTCAGTCCGAAAAAATGGTTCTAAGGTTGTTATATACAATTGCATGGTTCGCCTCCTGACCATTGGTGACAAATCTTTTTTTTAAATTTGAAATTAATTTTTTTTCTTAGTAGTGTTTTTTCGTCAGTCCTTGACTAGATTCTTACTGAGTATAACTAGGTAATCATTCCCACTTAAATACTCATTTCTGTATTGTCCTGTTTCCTTATTGTGTTTGCAGAATCTTGAAAGCGGCGATCTGCTGGTGTACTTTCAGGTAATTTTGATTGTCATGGCTGTGAGAAGACTAACTGAAACAAAACTTTGCCATTGGACTTAACCTTGTATAACTGACCGCCTTGTCTTTTTACAGGAGTTGTACAGAAAAAAGCCTGGTATGTCTATGGAAGAAGCCAGAAAACCAGAAAACCTCCCGAAAAACAGATATAGAGACATTCTACCGTGTAAGTGACATGCATATTTTTGAAGTTTATGAGACACTTTCAAATCTGGTTATTTTAATTGTTTTTTATTGGGTTATTGGTGTCGAGTGTGAACAGCTTACACCCCGTCGAATTTTTTACCCGCGCTACCCGTTTACAAGGAACCGTGCAATTTCTGTTACAGATTGCAGCACTTATCAACGGCGCGTAACTAGGCTCCATGCACTTAAATTATCGCGCAAACTGTGCCAAAACGGTAAAAAATTTTGACCATCTTCTGATCAGGTGAAAAACTTGTACACTTCGCTGTTCAAAAAGTTGCGCGCTTCCGCCAAGCGAAAATACCTTCATGACCATGGGCCCAAATCACATTATGTCTCCCTTATTTACTGCTCTTAGCGTGAAAGAGTCAAAATGGACGGATTTAGGCTGAACACTCAGAGAGTAACTCCTTTTTTGTAAATACATTGTTTGTTTCTGCAGATGACGACACAAGGGTTACGTTGTACAAAGGAAAAAATGATTATGTCAACGCCAATTATGTCTCTGTAAGTTAACATACCACTTCATTAATGGAATAACCATAAATACGTCTGCGTGTTGTAGGCCTTCAGAGAATAGAGATACACGCAATAGACCTCTTTAGCCTGTATGTTTTGTTTTCCCAATACAGGTCATGTGATAATACTCTAGAGAACTGTTTCTTTCAAATTTCGTCTTCTTCACTTGCATATGTACGCATAATTTATGAAAAGCGAAAGGGTCAAGTTCCCCTGGGACCTCTATTGGGAAAACAAAACATACATGCTAAAGAGGTCTATTCGTCACATTTTGAAACGATTCAAGACTCAAGAGAGGTCAAACATAGCGTGGAAAATGGGCCTAAACTGAGGGAATCCCTTTCCTGAAGCTTTCTCACCCATCTCCGACGATATTCCTTTGCTCTTCATCAGTCAGTGCCATTCCTATATTTGTATGCTGCCTTGATTGCGAAGCAACATCCCAGTTAGGGGGTGAGAAGGGAAGTGAATTCGTTTTGAATAGAAAAGTAGATGCAAAGTAAGACGCTGGAAGTTGACATGAGCTCATGTCCTTAGTTTTTACCAACTAGTAATAACCAAGGTTACGGAGTGCGGGCGACAACGACCGAAGGTTAAAACGCTTTTACTACGACGCTGTGCTTTGCGCAAGTTTCACGTGACAAAAGGTCGAAACGCGCGTCATCAGATTGCAAGTGATAGAAGGTCCAAACGCGTGTGATCAAATTCCGTTCATTCTTAATGGCAGTTCCCACGAATGCAGGCTACATACATGCGACGCGTGCGTAATAACAACCTGAGGATTAGGATTGCGGGCTCCTCTTGTCGCCTGCAATAATAGTTTGCTAACTTTTTCACAGATGAAGGTCCCCTCTAGAGGAGTGGTCAACAGATACATAGCTGCCCAAGGACCATTAGAAAAGACGTGTGGAGACTTCTGGCAGGTAGAATATGCTCTGTTGTACGGTCATGAATAATTAGGGCTCCCAGACAAAGCAAAGTTAGAATCAAAGTAGATTAAATTTATTTAAACCTGAATTTCATTCGCACCTACAACATAAGCAAAACCAGGGGTCGTCGGCGCGTTTTAAGTCAGTTGAGTGCCACAGAGTGGCTGTTCTTTGGGCCCTTTAGTCTCCCAGTCATGTGACGCACGTAATGTAAATCATCATGGGAAGCAACCTCAACAATACCAGAGATATGGAAAGAGTAAGAAAAATAAGCTAACAAGCCAGTTTTGGGGTGTTTGAAATGAACCCGAAAACTGGCAGACACTGTATTTGTTTTATGGTATCTCCTCCTCTGGTATGGGTAGGTCCCATAATTTTAGCATGAGATAGGTTACGTGGCTGCGACTTGCAAAGCCGCTGTTAAAGACAATCATAACATTGTGATGACTTGTGTTTTGTTCCGTTCCAGATGGTTTGGGAACAAGAGGCTTCTCTTATTATCATGCTAACAACAACAGTAGAAAGAGGAAGGGTAAATATGTTAATTGTCTAGTGTGTTTTGAACGGTCACACTTTAGGATTTTCTTCGCGGACTAAGTTAAATTAAAAACGAGCTAATACAGTATAATAAACAGTACCACAGGAAAGTACTGCTCGGGAGCATTCATTTGAATGGTCACACTTTATACGTTCATCCAGAGACTAAAAGTTAGGATCACCTTGTACGGCATAATTAACAGTACCAAAGGAAAGTACTGCTCAGTAGCTTTCATGTGAAGACTGGTCCTTTACCTAGTCCCTAGGCCTCATTGCTCCGCGCGGCCAATGCGTTACGGGTCACGTGGTGCGAGCGAGTTTCTCCTTGCTGCTCCTTGCCGTTCGTCTTGGATACGTCACCGAAATGTATGGACGGAGAAGGCCTGGAAAGACGCCTTACAGGGACTAGGCGGGTCAGACCTTAGGATGTTATCCAGTCACAACGAGCGTGTATGGAGAGAACGCTTGACGAAGCCCAGAGAAGCTAGGGTTAAATTTGATGAGTGCCTCTTTTTCTGTCTTTAGGTAAAATGCCACCAGTACTGGCCAGAAGGAGAAGAAACACTTAAGTTTAAAAACCTGGAAGTCATCTGCACGAAAATCCGTGACTTCTCACCATCGTACATTTACCGCGAAATGTACGTCACTGACTCAAAGGTACTGCAATTATTGTTTCCGTTTTCTTGCCTTTCTCACTCGTGAAGTGGGAACAAAGATGACACTATCTGAGTCGCTTTTAATTGATGTTTACAACAACTCATTTGCACCTTCCCGTGTTTCGTCTTTCTGTTCCAGAGCTTGCGAAGCAGAGTTGTTGTTCAGTTGCAGTATATTGCGTGGCCGGATCACGGTAAGTTTATGGTCCAATTCCTCCTCCGTATCTCCCCTCCCAACCCTTCTCCTTCATATAAACAAAAATTGTAGTGGGACAGTTTGTGCCATTTTACACGAGGTAACGCATGCTCGAAGCCGCGGGAGAAGCTGTGGCTTGAATTAAACCCCAGGTAGGTGAGGTAACCCGCGGCCAGTCACCCCATGTAAACGTGATCGAATGAAAATGAGAGATTATATGGACAGGCGGGATATCCCAGCTAAGCGGGTAACCTCACCCATCTAGGGTCCCCAAACAGGCCCTAAGATAAAACTTGGCACGAAAAACAAAAAGACTTTGTGTTCATTCAGCAATGACTTAGCCCAACTACAGAATGAAGTTCTTTGTGAACACAGAAAAAACTCACTTGATTTACGGAATTCAGGAAATTATCTTTGCAGAGCAATTTTTCATTAGTAACCTAACCAACTAAGCTCTGAAAATCGAACTGAATTTCTATAGGTGTTTGTCGGAATCGTCACACCAAAATTTACGCTTTATTTTGTGGGTTTGTGCTCCTTTCAGAACAGTCCAGCGACCTCATTCTTTTTCTAAGTTTTTTGTTTACATTCTATCAATACCCGCTTTACGACTGGAAAGAGCCTCATAGAAATCGAAAGGTCTGTAAACATGAGCAGTATGTCTTCTTTTGTTGTAGAATTCAGTTACAGACCTTTGTTTTGGTTGAAAGATCATGCAGGATACAATAACACAGACTTTTCCAGTAAAGTAAGCTATTTTTAACATGGAAAAATGAATGGAAAAAATACTAGTATAATAAGGCAGAAAAAATCGATTTTAGTATTTTTAAAACCCACTTCCCAGTGGCACAAAGTTTAAATAACGTTTTAGGTTTTTATACAAGCATTCACTTAGTCAAATTATGAAAATGCCTACAAATATATGGTATCACCGTGTTAGTATTTATAAGCTTTATGTTCAAATTAGGGACTTGTCAGAAATTAGAAGGGGGGGGAAGGGGGGTGGAAACAGAGGGAGGGTCACAACATTTTGAGACTGCAGAAAAGGGAGGGGTCATGAAAAATGGGCCGTTAAAAGGGGGAGGGTCATGCAAATATGTGTCCGTGATCATGTAGAGGTTCACCCACAGAAGAAAAAAGAAGTTCTTTATTTAAAAAAAAAAACTGGGAAAAATAGGAGAGTCGAGTGATTAGCTGTCAGAATCAGAGTCGGACTCTTAATGCTGTCATCTATAATGTATGTATATGGCATTACAAAGAACAGATTAGAAATATATTTTGAGCTTTCATAATACTGACTCACCCTAGTGTATTGCAAGAACTAGATTTTATCATTTATACAAGAGGGGGAGGGTCATGATATTTTAGGCCAAGGTCATGGGGAGGGTTAGCAAATTTCACTCCCATTGCAGGGATGGGTCACCTCATTTCCGAACCCAAATTTAAAATTCCCACCCCCCCTCCCCCCCTGCTAATTTCTGACAAGTCCCTTAGTTAGATAAAGCTTAAAATACACATTTTTTTGAAATTTTATTTTTCTGATGATTTAAAATAACAGATGCACCACAAGGTATTTTGTGTATTTTTATTTCAACGCTTATCAAAATACCATCTTTTTCCAAACCGTCGAGAAAATGTTCCAAACAGATTCAGGTCCGCCAAATCTTTGCAAAGCTATAGTGACTGAAAACGTCTTAATTTTGCAAAAATATTGATAGTATGTATAAAGGCATGATCTTTTTACAGGAGTTCTTGTGAGTAATTATCAGAATAAATGTCATTCGAGAGCACATTAGCTTATTATCAATCAGAGGATTTGCTTTTAAAGACTTCGCAGTGAGTTCAAGATTCTTTGCAAAATTAAGCTTATATCCTAAACTTACGCCAGATTTTGCTAATCTCATATCAGAAAAACATATTTGTCTTACCGACAACAACATCAATTACTTGTGTTTTAACTTGAAAGCTTTCTTTCTTTTCATTTCTTTTTTAATCGCCGCAATTTCACGCGTTGTTCCAGTTTATTCGCAAAGAAAACTTTTCTCCAACCAATTTCCTTGGCCAGGATCTTCATTTCGTCAGTAACCTCGTCGCAATAAGTCATAAATATCTTTTCCCACAGCAAATCATTCGCACAAATTTTCTTCGTAAACTTGCAAACAGCTCCCAAATGAACAACATCGATCAGATCAAGAAACGAGGCAATATGAACGAGAACTCGAGGTGGAAGTCGAATAAGCCAGTCACCACAAACAATAGCGTGAACGTGTTTAAGCGTTTCTTCGCCAAATACACGGCTGATGTCGCTTTGAAGAAGAGCATCATCGTCAAACTCATCCCATGAGACTTTCTTTTGACTTGGAGGTAATCCTCGCTGGTCTCTTCGGATTGCAATCCGCCATGTTCGCCAAATCACTTCTCTTTCATTCACAACAAATTGGTGAAAATCTTTGCTTGGTGCAGGTGCTTGGCCGACTTTTTCGATGAAGACTTTTAAGGTACTCATTGTTTATAACTCCTGGCAACAAATGTGTTAAACCAAATTCGTTCCTCGCTTCAAACCGTGAAAAATATGGAACGAAACTGGAATGACGTGCAAAAAGTTGGTCGCTTCTTTGTTGCAGTTACTTGTTTTGGCGGGAAATTTTAACCAACAAGAAGCCGTCTTTCGCCTTGCGTGTCAAATCGCCCTTGAAATGTTTGAAGAGAAAATTGGATTCAACGTATGAACTGAATTTTTAAAAATAAAATAACTTTGTTGTTTTCGTGTATGCTCTTTCCTCTTCTTAACTGTTAGTGTATTTATCAAGATCTGGCTTAATGTCGTTTTATTTTAAAAGGATATTTAGCTGTTGGCCACCTGAACAAATATTTCGCGGAAGTTTTATCTCAGTTTGAGCGATGGTTATCATAAACTTGTCTTCGCTGGCTCGACCGGCAATTGTTGTGGACAGAGCTGCTCGCTTTTTTTTTACAACTGAACCGTTTGGCGATTGAGCTGGTGATACATGTTATGACAAATTTAACTGATTAATTTTGAAGCGTTAAAGGCGTTACTCTAAAAGAAATTGATATGCTCATTTATTCTCAGAAAGATTTCTGACATGTATTTACCGGTCATTAGTTTTGTCTTGTTTTTGAGCCGTTTCACAAAGTTTTGACGTTTATAGTCCCGGAGAGATAAATTATTCTGAGTTTTATGATTAAAAGAAAAAAAATCCGATCATTGAAAGTTAGAGGAATGTAAAATACTATCACTTTTTGCTCGTTGTAGTAAGTTAAGCACCTCCAACAATTACCGTGATCAAGAGCCATGTGGCTCTTGCCGTGATGAATAGTAGTTGATACTAGGCAATTTATATTACATTTCGTTGGTCTTAAAAGGTGTTGACACGTAAATGTGAAAACTTCCGTTGCTTAATTTCGGATTTTAGCTTTTTCTGAAAAGTAAAGCGTTTTAGAAGTAGAGCGGGACGCTCCTTTTTTTCTGAACTTGTTAACTCGGTGCTAATGAAATCTGGAAATAATGTAACTTTACAGTGATTTTCTTGTTAGATTTTCCTGTGGCTACAACGTTATTAAACGTCGTCCGAAAGTCGAGCTTTTGCTGTTTTTTACGCCCTGTTTTTTACTCTTACCTCGTATTTTTTAAAGTAGAAATTTAAACCTGATTAAACTGAAAAGTGATTTCTGTTAAACATAATAATAATAATAATAATGATAATAATGTTTATTTCTTACATTGCGCAGTCTAGCATGCGATAAAGATATGATCGAGTGCGCATAAACATTCACTCTCCGGATCGTAACACCTCTTGGAAACCGTTGTTCGGTGTTTTTTGTATATTGAACGGGATATTTTCCACTTTATAAGACAGTTTGTAGGTGAAGGGAGGTGGGTGGGAATGGGGGGTAGGGATAGGTCATTGGAAGTAAATTTACGAGTTTCTCGAATATTTTATCTTGTTTTCTTGGATTTGTATCACGCTGACGGGAGGGTACTCTGCTAAAACTTCACACTAGTGTAAAAATATGTTTTCTGTTTTAATTATCCATAGATGTCCCTGACGATTCGACGGACTTCTTAGAATTTATTCATATCGTTCGCCATTACCGCGAAGGAACAAACACTCCAACTGTATTGCACTGCAGGTATGTACCGAATTGTTAGTAATTGGTAGTAGTTCAGGTGAAGTCAAGCTAGTCGTTGCGGTCTCTAGGAAGCTTAAACATTTAAAGCCTAAGTTGTTTACCATTTAATTTACATGGGCAAACCAGTTAGTTTACGGTGTGGGTAGTTGGTCAATAAACTGAGGACTGGTAAAACCACTTGCAAAAATCAGTCGGCCGCAAAAGCGTGAAACTGGTATCAAAGAGGTTTTGTCATATATGAGTCTTCATAGCTTAGTTGGTAGAGCACTGCAGCGCTTACGCAGAGGCCATTGGCTCGAACCCCGTTGAAGTCCCGCAATTTTTTTGGCTTAATTTGCAAATGCTTCAATTGCAATTGCCACTGCGACGATCATATCTTCATTTAAAATTTGTATTTCTGCGGTTCACATCATCTTCATTCCACAATTACTAATTATTGTGCCTCTACCGTATGTATGTATACTTCTGTTCGTTACTGAATTTCCGTTTCCCGTCTTTCCAATATTTCATCTATTGAAAGATTAATATATTATTTAGCATTACGTTTTCATTTAAAAGCTATTTTAAGAAAAAAGCATTGACTGAGTGCGTAACACCCCTGCCTCATTGCGCTTCATTTAAAGTCTGAGGACATTTCGGGGACTAAATTCAGCTTTAATCGAGTGGCCACTAAGCTTTTAGTCCGTAAATTGTCCAGTTTTTTTCGTTATCTGCACTTAGTTTAGCCTTTCAGAATCGACGGCATCTCAATTATGCACTTTAAACTATACAAATCTTACAAATGGACCTACTCGATATTCATGTTGTTTGACAAGAATTTAGTTTTTTAGGTAGTTAAAGTGAACTGGACAATCTTGATCTTCGGCCGTTATCTGTAGAAAACGAAGCGCTCTCGAAATGCAATTTCAACCCATAGTAGTTTCAATCGTTTTAAAATATGTGAAAGATCATGGTGACAGTAGCTTTAACCGATGGCTAGAAAGAAGAATTTGATAAGTATGTATCTAGACGCTCTTGTTAGCGGTTTGTAAACGTTTTGGTCCACTTGATGCTAGTTTTTCCAAATCTTTGTGAATGGCGACGTAGTTTATGCTCAAACTGGGAGGTATTAACCCTGAAAAATCTCATCGAGCCACCTTACCCCTTTCACTGCCAGAGTGTTTGATGGAGTTTTGTAAGGTGACTCTAACTTTTGAGTCTATGGACGAAATCCTATGATGTGACCATTCAAATGAAAGCTCTCTACCTGTACTTTCACATGATGCTCTTTGTTTGTCAAAATTTTAGAAAATGAAATTTGCAAATTTGGTCGAAATTTGCCTTTGGCCACATTTGGCAGTGAAAGGGTTAATACGGGCGCTTTCTGTGGCCCCTTCAGTATCCTTATTAACGGGGTTTGACCGTAGATCAAACTCGTTGTCATATCTAAAAGAACACTGGTAGGTAACTTTTCATCTGTTTTCAGCTATGTGTGTTACTGCCTTTATATCAGTCATTGGTTTGTTTATTTAAGAGGCCTCTTCCAATCTTTACCATCGCTTTTCTAAGCTCTCGAAGTCGCCAGCAATACAAAATCGGGTTTATCGAAGAATTCATAAATACCACAGTCGTCGACAAATCCCATTCGGTTTTCCACTCTCTGTGTACTGTCCCGTACAAAGTCATAAGAACAACGTTCGGAAAATAACATATAACGAGACAGATGTAAAACACGAACGTATTAACAGCGCTTTTTATCAAACGAAGCATGTGCGTGTTATTAGCACAACTTGAGATTTCTACTGCTTGCTTCTGAACGCGAATCTGCATGTCGTGATGTCGAACGATTCCGTAAATTTTTATGTAAAGATATGTGCAGATAATGAGACAAATAGCGGGGTAAATTCCTGCCAGCAAATGATACAAAGGCTGATTCCAAAAGTAAAGCCCCAGGCATAAGAAAGTGAACAACCAAATCATTGTCACGGTGCACAGCACGCGAGATTTGGTCACGATTGTGGAATATCGCATGTGGTAGTGAAAGGCCATGAACCGGTCCACGCAGATCACTGTAGTCGTACCAAGAGAGACTCCGCAGAGAAAGAACCCTGTCATTACTGTTACATGTTGCAAAAACAAGTCTTTTTCTGTTAAGCTTTTGAACTTGTTCGCAATGAAAAGCGGTTGGGCCATGACGCCAACCAGAAGATCCGAAACAGCCAGACTGGAAATCATGATCAGTGAAGGCGTTCGAATGGAGGGAGTTTTCAAGATGGCTGCTAACACCAGTGAGTTCCCAATGATTGAGATGAGAATCAGAGGGGTATTGATCACAGAGTTGATGACGGCTATGTTTTTTTGAGTAGCAGATATGTTTTTGTCTCCATCGTTGTCGTCCATCTTTTCACCCAGCTTCCGTTCCAGTCGAAAACTTAGATCCCCACTTTAATTTCCTCCGTACTGTATCCTCTTGCTCGTCAACAGCGAAGGGCGGAAGTAAATCTCATCGGAGTTGATAACACACGGTAAATCAGGTTGATTTTTCAAAGCAGCTGCTCCGACCTGCGCTTTCGTTTTCTCCGAGAAAGGGATCAGTCGAAGCGACGTTCTAGTTCTCACGTCTTGTTATTCAACGCAGTGTTTTGTCAGCAATATCTTCACTGCTCCACGCAAATACCAATTTAAAATTTTCGATTTCAACTTGTATGCCCCTTTGTTCTTTAACCTGGGGGTCACTATAGAGATAAATTGCACAAAAAAAAGAATCCGAATTTTAATACACCGATCGATGACTAATGTCTAGACTTTGATCAGGACTTGCATTATGATGTTTTGATTATGCGAGATAGGTAAAACAAGCTCTTTTGTGATGTGAATGTTGCTAGTAAGTGTTTTTTTTCTCAGATCATTGCTTGAGGCTTGTCTAAACCTGAAAATTATTTGACGAAAACAAGTAGGCGGAGGTGATTTTAATACTACAGGTTAACTGATTTAAATTGTTATTCAGATCAAAATGGAATATCAATGTACCGTTGATTTGCAAATGAATGCAAGAGATTGCTAGCGTTAAAGTGGCTGCTACTCATCAAATATTTGACTTTGTAACAGATGACGGGTAAGGATTTTTCAGATTTTTTACGCAAACATCAAGGAATACTTGAAAGTGGAGAAATAAGTTATGTCAAAACTAATGGCGCTCAGCGCGCTTAAGGTGGCTGAACACAGTTTTGCGGGAGGTCAGCGGTAGCATGTGTTTTAGATTAGACAAACAAACATGGTGACGAAAAAAGCAATGGTACACAGAAGACGATTTCTCAAAATCTACTCATTAATATTTTGTGATATTTGGCAGAATTTTTTCTTTTATCATATTTGAACTAATGAGAACTTTAAAATGGAAGTTGAAAGGACGAATTTGTGACACATTAAATAAATACAGAACAATTATATTATTGATTATCTAAAAACCCGTCTGTTAATATTTGGTCAAATAAGTTTCAAATGGTAATGATTAATTATAGTAAGCTGTATGCAAGTTTATAGGAAAATCTAATGAGCGAATTTTATGTAAACTGAGCGAAAGTGAAATTTTGATGTTGTATTCAGTCGTTCATGTTGTCATGGAAACTACGAAAACGTCAAATTTTACCTCTCAATCAAAATATTTCATCAGTATATTTTTCAAGTTTCAGTTGGTGAGCTGCAACCTTTCTGTTGCCATGATTTGGCAAATGCCATATACTCACAAACTGCCAAAACAGTGTTCAGCCACCTTTACGGACGTGGCATTAGTCTTAATTTGACTGATAATTTTCAATACACAGACTCTCCAATCAGAATTTGATACAGATTTTTCGATGAGATAAAACTCATTTTCACAAGAACGTTTTTGCACTTAGCCTCGTTGTGAATGTAAGAGTTTTTGGAACTCGGAAGTGGCCTATTACTTTTGTTTTTTCCAGTAGTTTTACTATCTGCTCATGCGCAGAGCGCTAAATTTGCAGATCCAAAATGGCGTTTTGCAGCTGAGTTACCACACGTCCATGCAACCACGACTTTGCCGAACCAAAATTAAGACAGTTTTCCTGTTCACACCAAAGTACAGACATGTCCACTTAGCTGTGCAGACGCGTTTTGTGTGCTCCGATCCTAATTCACGAATTTTTCTCTTATCCTGAACCTACATATTCTGAAAACCATTGACTGTACCGGCTAAAACTTTGAGATGTTGGCGTTCAAATTCTTGAGGGCTCGGTGTCTAGATTTTTGTAAGGTTAAGGTGGTTTATTGTGAACGTTCATAACACCTTAACACACGAGTTTTCAACCGGTCGAAAATTCGTCCGGTAGCGTGCGAACCTTAGCTAGGCAAACGAAATGGACAAGCAAGGACTCGAGGAAAATACACGCAACCAGCGTAGAGGGCTGGACCGGGTTGTTCAAACTGGGGTTAGTGTGAAATTTGAATTCTGATATGAAAGCTTAAAAAGTAAATTCAGTTTCATTCTTTTTGTCGACAAATTGATGATTGGATGCTCTTAAAAATAACAGAGAAAACTATCCGAGAAAATACTTTTGAACGAAAAAGAGAAACCTGGGTTAAGCGCTAATGTGGGCCCTGGAAAATACTTATTCCACAAAGTCAAGACTAGTTTTGTTTTAGCGTTGACGTGTTGAGAATACGGCGAGATATTTTTCAGCCATTTACAAAGAGAGCATTGCAAAGTCAAAGCAATCAGTAAATTATATCCTCGCTCTATTACAAACGCTTCAGCGTGAACGCAAATAGATAAAACCTTCTTAGATAGACGTACCTGAAAAACGAAGAATGTTAAATATTAAATTAAATCACATCCAAGTTTGGGGGCTGAAGTATAAGTAAGAAAATACGGTGCTTTATGTTGACAAAGAAAACAATATTATCCAAAACGTAAACAAAATCTTGGTGTCCATATGCATTTTAAATCATAGTCTTTTGATTACTCGGTTAGCTAATAAAAGTTTAAAAGACGAAAGTGCGGGATGCTTTTGAATTGTATTTATTGAATAAGTGTTGTGGTTCAAGACCATCCTTGGCTTAAATTTTATTTGAAGATTTTTTTTAATTTGATTTTATTTTGTCTTAAGCTCATTATCATACATTACCATAGCCAGATCAAGGCCAAAAAATTGAAACGCAATATAGTATTTCCTGTTTTTTCCTCCATTGCGCAGTTTGCAGTGCGTTGTGGTAGACAAAAATAACGGCGAGAAGGGTCCCGAATTAGGGAGTCTTAGCAACGACGACGGCGACGGCAAAGAGGACGTCAAAAAAGCAACAGGTTTATTAAACGAAACATCAAGTTTGCACGTGCATCACGCTTTTTTGTACATTTCTTTGCCGTTACTCCACGATTACGACGTGAAAATGCCTAATTTCACGTTTTATGGAGGACGTAAACAAGCGACAGGGAAATTTTCTTTCTCTTTCTAAACTTGAGTCGGTCCCCAAGAAATCAACGCCAGCGAAATTTACCTACATTAGACATTTTCAATGAATTGGAATTAACGCGATAAAGTTTGAAAAACGCTAAGTCATTTTAAAAGTGACGATCTCGCTGTCGTAGCAGTTGTCGATGCTAAAACTCTCTATTGCCTCCTTGCAATACGGTAAAACAGGTTTACGAACTTGATACTAAATATCAGTTGTTCTAGGTTCAATGATATACATCTATAATCTCTTTGAACCTTTCCTATGTCTGCCTTCAGCCCGCGTATGTGGTTGTCACGATTTCCTCATCTGTTTGTTTATGTAACATCTTGTTTCCAATCTTCCTCACCGCTGCTCTGAGCTCACGCAGTCTCCAACAGTACAAAATTGGATTGATCGACGAATTCATGAATACCACAGTCGTGGCTAAGTCCCATTCAGGTCGCCATTTTGCATATACCGTACCAAACAAGGCCATTAAAATAACATTTGGAAAAAAACAAATGACCATGCAAACGTAAAACAAGAAAGTGCTGAAGGCGCTTTTTTTCAGACGCAACATAAGGTGCTGGCTTCCAACGTTTGAGCTGTGTACGGCTTGTTCCTGGACGCGAATCTGCAGTTGATGGTGGCGAACAATTCCGTATATTTTGATGTAAAGATATGTGCAAATAATTAGACACATAGCGGTGTAAATTCCTGCCAGCAAGTGATACCTAGGCTTGTTCCAAAAGTAAAGTCCCAGACATAAGAAAGTGAACAACCAAGTTGCAACCACCGTGTACAGTACGCGAAGTTTAGTCACGATTGAGGAATATCGCATGTGATATTGCACGGCCATGAACCTATCAACGCAAATCAATGTGGTTGTGCCCAGAGAGACTCCGCAGACAAAAAAACCTACTAAAGAAGTCAGCGAGTGTAATAACAGGTTTCTTTCTGTTAAGTTCTTGAACTCGTTAACAAGAAACAATGGTTGAGCCATGATTCCCACCAGCAAATCGGAAACAGCGAGACTTGAAATCATTATCATAGAAGGTGTTCGAATGGAAGGAGTTTTCAAGATGGCTGCTAGAACCAAAGAGTTCCCGGTGATTGATATGAGAATTAGCGGAATGTTGAGTACGAAGTTCACAATGACGATTATTTCGTGGTTATTGACTGCCTTCTTGCCTTGGTCGGTGTAGTTTGTCATATTATCCAGCCTTCGCTAAGTAGAATACTTAAAACTTGCTGGTCCTTGACAGTGTTGTCCTGAAACAAAGCGTAAAGTCAGTGCTAAACAGTAACGAAAGAGTGACCAGTTTTCTAACCAAAAAATTAAATACAGCCTAATCTGTTTTCTTTCGCAAAATTGGTTTTCAATTTGCATCGACAAACTGCCACTACCCTGGATTGTTTGCACCGTCCTGAATTTTTGATGCCAATCTTGCTTTGATATATGTTACCTTTGCACACAACTTTTTTTTCGTCTTTTCTACTGTTGAACAAACTTCCTTTTTCCGAGCACGCAACTGGTCTATTTAATCTTTCTAAACGAGCCTTGAAGGCTTTTGAAATGTTGTTTTAAATGTTCAGTCTGAAATAAAGTAGGGGAACCGAGTTGTATATCAGTTAAAAGACTGAATTACCAATATCATGATATTGTCGTTCAAATCACAACATAAAAAGTTAATCTCATTTCCTTTACACCTTGTCTATAACTTTGACGAACCATTTGTCAAACTAAGTCTGAATTATTTATTATTTTAGTCTAAGTAGAAGGTTATTTTGCGCATCCTGAAAACTTTATTGAAAACTTGTGTGAACAGCTGGAAAATACAAAAACCTGATTTTTGTAGAATTGGAAAAAGCAACTGGGCCTTCATTTTTGTTGCTAACGATTCATTTTTTTTACTAATGATATTAACGAAAAATTTACTACAGTTAATCAGTTTGATAGCAGTAACAAAGCGTCAAAGATATAATTGCTTAAAAGCAGCATTAAATTGAGCATAAAATCAGTGCTCTGCTTAATGGCTTGTCGTAGACGGACAAATTAATTTGTTCATGTTTTGTTTATCATCTCAAGGCAACGATAACAGGTGCATCAGTGAACTTACAGGCTTGTTTTCTTCAACTTTCCATCACGACGAAATTTTCTTTCTCTTTCTGAACTTGAATGTGGTTCTTAGGAATTCAGTCAACTCCAGGCGTGTTCGTCTACATTTCAGAGTAAGTGAATTGGAATAATAGTGATGAAGATTAAAAGAATGCGAATGTAGTTTTTAAGCGACGTTTTCGCCGCGGCATTCGTCCCCGGATTGTAAGTCCCTGAAACGTCCCTTAGATCCGAGGACGTCGACAGCGGAGAAAACGTCGCTTAAGAATTGAATTCGCGTTCTTTCAATCTTCATCGCTATTATTTCAACCAAAAGATCATGATATTGTGATCTCTTGTTTGAACTCACTTGCTTTGTCACATGTAGGCGAACTCTCCTGGAGTTGAGTTCCTAAAGACACTATTCAAAATCAGATTGAGAAAGAAAGTTTCGTGGACGCTATTTTACGTCCTCCATAAAACGTGAAATTAAGTAATTTCACGTCGACGTTGTGCAGTGACGGCAAAGGAATGTACTAAAAAGTTCCTTGCACGTCCAGAGTTGTTGTTTTGCTAATCAAACCTTTTGACGTTCTGGTTTTGCCGTGTAGCCGTCGGCGGATGTTGAGGTCTCTAATAACAGAATGATGTTATGGGCCGAGTGTCTCGACAAAGCTCGACACGTTTTTCACCGCCCATAACCGACAAACTTTGAACACGACAAACAAAATTTATCAAATAAACCGGGATATCGAGTCATAACGTAGCCATACTCTGACTATACTGACTGAAGTTACGAAAGTGCATGTGACATATGTTTCTAGATCAACGGTTCTTTCCATTAAAAACCGACTTTAGAAAGCAATAATAACTTGTCCAGTCTTCAGAAAATTTTTACCGTTAGGTCTTGGATAATCACAGTCTCGTCAATTGAAAGTTTAAAGAGGAAAATGAGTATGTACAAGAAAAAATGTTTCGAAACTTACCTGTAATTCAGGTTACAGTTGCCCCAAAATAAGACACTGAAATAAGATTCAAGTCTACATGCTTAGTAAATAGCATATAAGTAAGGTGTAAAAGCTCTCCAAGCTTGTCCTCTCGGGCCAATATATGCTTTAATGGCACCAAATTTCCTCAAGGTAATTATGAGCCCATCGAGTCAGGATGTTAACACCCTGGTTAGAAATAGCCGACGACCAATCAATTTTGGTCCATAATCGTAATCGAAACAAATGGTAACAAAACAAACTATACAAACTACGAAAAACACTTACCTGTAGTAGTTAGGTAGCACCGTAAAAGCCCAACTTCCTAAGGTCAAGGAGAAATACAGCTCCCAATTCGAGTACTGCTAACAATCCACCTTTCCACTGCAAAGAAGACCCTTATGCTTGATAATATATTCACGATCTTTGGGTTTGTTTTTACGGGATTTCGGGCAGTGCGTCACTTGAGGATGATGAGTATTACGATCGACATTTTTGTGACACCATGATTTTAATAGGAAAGTAGATTTCCATCCCCAAAACTTCCCGTAAGAATGTGAAAGCAAGCTAGTCCTCTTAAGTATATTATTTAGCGGTGCGCATACGGGCAGCGGCCGAAGTATGTATTGTCCTTGGCTAATATGAACGCGGAACATTTTCTATCTTGTTTTCAGTTTTGAATGGGAGCTTTAGCAACGACGTTGGCGACGAATTCACCTTTTTTTTTAAACATTATCGTGTTTATTCCAGAGTGAGCTCGCATAAAATGCCGGTCAGATGTAGATGAATTTCCCAGGCGTTAAAGTGCTGAGCAGCGCATCATAGTTTAGTGTCGCATAGTGAAATTTCACGTCGTGTTCGGGCGGGACAGCAAAGGCGTGCTGTACGTGTAAAATCAGCAAGAAAACGGAAGTTTTTGAAAACTCATTAGTGTAGACAAGGCCTAAAAACTTTTCGTTTATATAGTTCCTTCTCTTAAAGACATACACCTATTTAACAGTAAGTCCTTTTCGATCGCGGAAAAAAATATTAATAATGTCGCCACCTTGTAAACTGTGCCAACATAAGGTTTCTAAACGTTCTACTGCGCCTCTTGCAAAAAGCAAGAAAAGCTAAGAATCAATTAAGTGTACCTAAAAGCTATAAAACGTACTTATCTCTCTGACTTACAGTCACGTTTACGGTAAACCGCAAAGTCCGTTTCAAGTTGAGAATTTCTCAAAATAGAAAATAACACAATTCTTATGGGTGACAATGGCGTGAAATTACTAATTTTTTTGTAGACGTAATGAACAGTAATAGTCAAGCCAAGGGAAAACTTGGCCACGTGGTACAAATTCACGTTGTTAGTTGCCGTTTGCCGTAAACATTACTCTGAGTCTCTCTTATGTCTACAAAATTCCGTGCTGCAATTTTTCATGGAGTTATATTAGAGAAACGGGTAGATCTTTCGCTACAAACGAGCAGTGTGAAAACAGCGGGTTAAAGGCTCCAGAATTCGCTAATCATGCTTTGTCTCATAACCATCGGATATTGATTTTAAAAACACCTCGATCTGTGAAGCTTATAGACAATGGTAATTATCGCGTTGGAATGTTTCTGGAATCCTGGCAGACCATGCTCACCAGTATTGGCGACATTATTAACTCTTGCCTTTCCCCACGGCAATATAGCGTTCTTTTTAGCAAAAAATTTCTCAATATATTCTTTCTTAATTTTCTTTCTATATGGTTAATTGAATTTTTATTCTATTGTATTATGTTAGAATCGTTTTCAGTTTTAAATCATTTCGTCCCTTTAAGACCGCAGAGCAACCGGTCGAAAGCTCGTATTTCTTAAAACATTTTTAGAGAGCTCTTCTTCAGCACTTTAATAGAGAGCCACGGCAACGAGAACGTCAAAAAAGTAACAGGTTTAATTAGCAGATCGTCAACTTTCCATCACGACGAAATTTTCTTTCTCTTTCTGAACTTGAATGTGGTTCTTAGGAATTCAGTCAACTCCAGGCGTGTTCGTCTACATTTCAGAGTAAGTGAATTGGAATAATAGTGATGAAGATTAAAAGAATGCGAATGTAGTTTTTAAGCGACGTTTTCGCCGCGGCATTCGTCCCCGGATTGTAAGTCCCTGAAACGTCCCTTAGATCCGAGGACGTCGACAGCGGAGAAAACGTCGCTTAAGAATTGAATTCGCGTTCTTTCAATCTTCATCGCTATTATTTCAACCAAAAGATCATGATATTGTGATCTCTTGTTTGAACTCACTTGCTTTGTCACATGTAGGCGAACTCTCCTGGAGTTGAGTTCCTAAAGACACTATTCAAAATCAGATTGAGAAAGAAAGTTTCGTGGACGCTATTTTACGTCCTCCATAAAACGTGAAATTAAGTAATTTCACGTCGACGTTGTGCAGTGACGGCAAAGGAATGTACTAAAAAGTTCCTTGCACGTCCAGAGTTGTTGTTTTGCTAATCAAACCTTTTGACGTTCTGGTTTTGCCGTGTAGCCGTCGGCGGATGTTGAGGTCTCTAATAACAGAATGATGTTATGGGCCGAGTGTCTCGACAAAGCTCGACACGTTTTTCACCGCCCATAACCGACAAACTTTGAACACGACAAACAAAATTTATCAAATAAACCGGGATATCGAGTCATAACGTAGCCATACTCTGACTATACTGACTGAAGTTACGAAAGTGCATGTGACATATGTTTCTAGATCAACGGTTCTTTCCATTAAAAACCGACTTTAGAAAGCAATAATAACTTGTCCAGTCTTCAGAAAATTTTTACCGTTAGGTCTTGGATAATCACAGTCTCGTCAATTGAAAGTTTAAAGAGGAAAATGAGTATGTACAAGAAAAAATGTTTCGAAACTTACCTGTAATTCAGGTTACAGTTGCCCCAAAATAAGACACTGAAATAAGATTCAAGTCTACATGCTTAGTAAATAGCATATAAGTAAGGTGTAAAAGCTCTCCAAGCTTGTCCTCTCGGGCCAATATATGCTTTAATGGCACCAAATTTCCTCAAGGTAATTATGAGCCCATCGAGTCAGGATGTTAACACCCTGGTTAGAAATAGCCGACGACCAATCAACGCGCGCGAACAAGATTCAGTTTATTTCAATAAATTATAATCAGCTCATTAATTAATTCGTGTAGTCGCCATGTCAAAAACAGTATTCAAGACCCTGCTTAGATTCATTTGAGGGCCAACATTGGTTTCCTAGAGACTCACTTCCTCTTAGAACGAATGCTGCCATTTCATAAACAAATGGCCCAAAAAAAGGCATTAAAAAATTCACATTTTGCGATTTTGACAAGCAGCAATACGGCTTGGTGTTAAAAACAATAAAACCTTTTCTTAAATTTTTACACATGTTTAGACGGCACATTCGTCGACAGCAATGAAACATTTTGAACTTACCGTTGAATCGTATAAACCTGACTCTCTCTTCCACGCCATATATTGTAACTTTTTAGTACGCGATATTGTAAACTAATGTAATGCTCTAATTTTTCTCTCAATGTGACAATCCAATTTTTCTCGCCCAATGTAAAATAATGCATCAGTGATCTCAAATCGATGACAGGTGCAACTTTGGAAACTTGTCCGAAAAATCAAAGTCAGTTGTTATGTTTCTAAGATTATCCCGCGAAGAATTCAAAATTTTTCGAAAGGTAACGCACTTCCAGGCTTGCAACCACTCCCTTTATACCCAGACTTATCAGCCTTGAGTAACAATTTTCCGCTTGTGTGTTTCTTAATGCCTCATTGACACAAAGGATTAAACATGTTTAGAATTTTAGAAAACACTGTGTAGTAAAATATGGTTCAAAATTGTTTTCTCCGTAAAAGCTGCTTACTGACTTTTGGCTATTGCAAATTATGTGCAAATTACAGAGCATGTTAAAGTTGATTGAATCTTGTGTAAAGGTCTGAGTTTGAGTTTTCCATTACCGAGTTATTTCCATTTTTCTTTCTTGAAACCTGGTTTAATTAAACATGTTTAGTTGGTGTGAATGGGCATTAGCTTGATTGAAGAGCTCTGAATCGCTTTTAAAAAATTTACCCTTGTACTCTCTCATATCGGTCTATTTACATTTTACTTGCTTGTTTAGTGACATCAGATAATAACACATTAACATTAAGGGAGTAATTTAACAAAAACATTAATGCTCTAACGACGGGGTAGAAATAGCAGAAAGATTTTCAAAGGTATTATAACTGCTCGAGGGACTTTTTATTTTCGAAGAGGTAATGGGCTGAGATTTACAGTATCGTTGTATATCTTATACGTTCATGTATAAGGCAACATTCTTACAGCAATGGAAAAATGTTCGACCGGTAGAAAATTCGTGCGTAAAGTGTTTCGTTCATACTGAACCAACCTAACCGTACGAATATTTAGACGTCTAGCTGTGGCGTTCAAAATTCGTATGAACAGAGCGAAAATTTTGAATGGTTCCTTGTAAACGATTTGTCCGGTCAATTATTCAGCCTGTCGAAAATTCGTCGTATCAAGAACGCAGCCTAATCCAGACTCTTCTCAGCATGCATATAAGTCACCACAAACATACCCGCACGCCCATAGATCTATCACGTCTCTGCGTCAAGTCTCTAGAGATCTTTGTTTACTTTTCTTAATTCATTCGTTTCACTTCTCTTTGCTTCGTTTTCTTTCGTTCTAGTGCCGGTGTTGGCCGCACAGGTGTGCTGATTTTTATGGAGACGGTGTTTAACATGATCGAGGCAGCAGAACCTATTTTTCCACTGGAAATTGTTCGGCGAATGAGAGATCAAAGGTGCTCGCTCATACAAACTCCGGTAAGTAAAGCACTTACGACTTAATCATCACGCAAATGCGACAGTCCCCGCGAATCCGTTTTTTTTCATTGTCTCTTCTCATTCACTTTTAAAATTCAAATTCAAATTCATTTTTCTTTTTTTATAATTATTTATGTAGGGTCAGTTTATATTTGTCCTGGAAGCTTTGTTGAGAGCATATGATGGTAAGTCGAAAAAGCTTTGAGAAAAAAAGCAGTGTTCACACCATAGTGGATAGCCTTTCGTGCCGTCAGGAAAAGCTATCCGTTATGATGTGAACACCTATTCGATATGTGACTCGCCCCTTTTCAAAATTCATCGCTCTTATTCAATGTCGTTCAATTTGTCAAATGTCAGTGAACTTTTCTGGAGTTGATTTCTAAAGGACTTTAAAGAAAATCATTGCGTTGTGTTCACGTCCCCAACAAAACGTGAAATTAGGAGGTCTCACGTCATAGTCATGCAACGACGGCAAGGAAATGTACAAAAAAGTGTGTTGCAGGTGCAGAGTTCTTAGTGTTTTGCCAAGCTAATTCAACTGCGTTTTTGCCGTTCTCGTTGCTATCGTAGTCGTCGTCGTGGTCGCAGTTGTTTAACCTCCGTGCTGGTGGTGGTGATGACGACGATTACGACGACGACTGACGACGATTACGACGACGACTGACGACGATTACGACGACGACTGACGACGATTACGACGACGACTGACGACGACGCGATGACGACGACAACGACAACGACAACAAAGACGATGATGATGGTGATGATGATAATGATTAGCTATATCTCACAAGAACACTTCATGCCGGTTCTCAAATTATTTTTGAAAACTGTACGTTAAGGTTATCAACTGTTCCACTACTCACAAACAAAATTCTATTTTTTTTTTCAGACGAAATGGTGAAACCGGTGTAATCGCGAAAAACAAGAGGTCTCACTGGTGTGAATCCAGCGTTCTGAAAGAACTGATTGCTCAGTTCAGTGCGGTTACGGCGAAAAGGGCCAAAATTCAGAGATGTTTGACGTCGACATCGAGTGGAAGAAACCAATCAAAGTTCCCGTTGCAGTCAACAAATAGTTTAGTGTTTTTTAACAAGTTCAGAGAACATGAGACAATTTTAATGATGAAATTGAAAGAAAAGATTAAGTATCGATCTTTGTTTAATCATTTCAACAGAGGACGTGTTTGTGATTTTATTTATACCTTGTTAGCGTCCAAACATTCAGAATATTTTAGTGATTTTATTTCACGTGAAATCGATTAATATATTATGTGATAATAGTTAGTCATGCATTTTTGCTACTGTACCCTCCCCGGTGGGGAGGGGTGTTATCACAACTATGTACATTTTACGTTACTCGAGTGTCGTTGTGACAAAAAGTTTTAATCATAACCGAAGCAAGATGTGATGAAAATTTGGAAAGCCTAATCTAGAAGTATTCTTGAAAGTGTTCTCTTGTTACGTTTTTTACAACTAAAATGGTAAGAGAAAACAAATTCTATTTGTCTTAGTTTAGTCCTAATCATTTTAGGTCTTAGTGCTAGTGTCGAAGATGAAAATTGAACAGTTGAGTAGTTGAATGTAAAATTAGCCTTGATTTTAACGTCTTACGGCTGGGATTTAGAACAAGTTCGCAAAAATAATTGCAGCAGATTATTTCACGTATATCCTACCTAAAATCGAACTAAAATCGTGACTACTTTTCCGGCATTGAAGAGGAGCAATGCAAAGTTCACGTCACTCGGAAAGTGCCATACTAACTTTGACTGATTGCATCCTTGGCATTAAAATATCACTTATTATCATTCGATGCAAATTTTTCTTCCTTCTCCTTGGCCGAGAGCCCACCACTTGACCTGCAAAATAAATGCTTACAAATAATTGTCTGCTCATGCATATGTCGTCCCTTTTTTGGCTGCAAATAATATTTTGCTCATGCGTAAATGAAACCACTCTTTTCTCTTTCTTGCGATCTCTCTCGGGTAAAAGTGGCAGATCCCTTGGCTGGCCTTTCAGAAACTTTAGAAGAAGATATTTATTACCGGGGGAAAAACAAACTCGATGATCAAATGATAATCATTGAACTCGGTTATCGCAAAATATCGTGATTTGTCATTGTCTCGCAGATTATTTTTTTTGCTTCGCCACTGACAAATCCCGATATTTTACTCAACCTCGTCCAATAAGCAGCAGTTCAGAAGTCCTGTAAGATATGATTTTGTTTTCTTGCCTCGGTCATAAAAAATCAGTTATCGTGAATAGACGATTCGACATGTGGCCACTCATTTTCTGCCGTGTAACACATCTCGTGCTCGTTGAAGGCATGCAATAAGCTGATTCAAGTCAAGCGAAATGAGCAAAGAGTCAGGATTTGAAGATCTCAGCGGCACACGTCTTTTCCCCGAACTTCCCAGAGCAATCAATGATTTTTAGCTTTCTTCTCGCATCGCTTAGGCTTGTGAAAATTGAATTTGTGAAAGTTTACTCTCAGTTTTTTATAACACCTTAACATCTTGGCCCGAGAGCGCCATTCCCAATGTATCTGGAATAAAAAAAAAAATTCTAATAAACTGCGTCCACACGGTTAGATTAAGGTGATTCCCTGGTTTTGCACTGCGCATCTCTTACTGCGCATAACAAGATGGCCGCCGTAGAAAAGAGCATTTGAAGAAACATTATTAAAATGAAGTTGACTGAAGAGAAACGTTATTGGAATTTTTGCTTGCGGTTGTTTCTTCCCGAGGTGAGACTCAAAGTGTTGGGAATGTGCATAACGAAAGCAGTCCTCGTGTTGCTGAGTTCGACTTCCTCAAGGAGAACCTCGATAGTGGATGTTTAACTTGTGCTTACTCACTTTGATTTTCATTTAAACGCTTTCTTTATCACATTGTGTCCTAAATGTGATATTTCGATGTAAGTTCTGTAAAAATGGATTTTTTAATACTTTCTTCCCTTTCACATACATTCTATTTTGAAATTCGCCCCAGTCCTCTCTCAAAAAACGGAGAAATGCATTTGGTGCGCACTTTCTGCAGCTCTACCGCAAAAACGAGTACGGTGACCTCCATTTTTTATTTCATGAGTTTAATAAGGACAGTGCTTCCTTTCGATGAGAAAAAAATTGGCACAAATCTATGTTCAGTTTTTTGGCAATTTTACTAAATTGTACGGATTGAGCTATCACTGGTCGAATAGCGCGTGTCCAATTTAATTCTGCTTTGGAGCGTAAAGTAAAAACAGGAGCACTAAAAGGCATTTTTCTGGTATTTAAGTGGATAAACAATACAATTAAGTCAAATCCTGTGCGAAAAAATCTCTCCTTTTTGTCTTGTTTTGGTCTGCGCGCGGGTTTTGTCAAAGGGTCCAAAATAACCGTATTTGTCAGCATTGTAACGTCAAAAAGAGCATGGTGACCCCCACTTTTTATTACTCTTTTATCATCTTCTTGATTTGTTACATCAGTGTACCAAGTTTCATGTACAATCTATGTTAGGTTCTTTTACTAAGGAATCACCTTAAAATGTGTTTATTAAGTTCTTTTCCTCGGATCGTTGCATCTTGTCCCGACGCCGAGTGGAAAACCTCGACTGGAACAGTTGCTGATGCATTGCGTCCAAAATCTGCATTTAATTCAGTTCCACGAAGTGAAATATTTAAGTCAGGGGCGACTCTAGGGGGAGGGTGCAGGGGGTGCGCACCCACCCCGCCCCCCACCCCCCCGAGATGACCGGTGGTTTTCAAATACAACTGGTATTCTGCAAAAAAAAAAAATGTGGTTTATTGGTGTTGAAGTAGAGCAAGAGACGAGTGCACCCCCTCCTAAAAAAAATCCTGGATCCGCCCCTGAAAATTATTTTATAAAAGAAACAGACCACATTTCTATTGGTTTACCTGGATGGATGACTTCCAGGGGAAACTAACTAGACGTGATAATGTTTCGTGGCGTGTCATGGCCTGCATGTGAACTGGTATGCACCGTTTCATACTAGAACTTCCAGTCAGGATAAAACATCCATACCTCTTGACAAAGATTTTCCTTGTGCACGCTAATAAGAGGACAAGGACAACCGTGTCACGACAGAGAACTGTGGCCCCTCTGAGTAGCATCTTTATCGTATATTCCATCGTAGAGCACTACACCATCTAAGACTGCATCCTCTTCATCTCGACTCATTATTGCCTTTTCGAGCTCTCCATGATCATTACCAGGTTTCGCACCACTGACATTAAACATCGTTTTCGTGTCCTCCGACAACTTAGCTCTCTTGTTGTAAGAGGGTCTCAATGGGGTGGTGCCTTTTACGGTTATCGGCTAAAATTTTGGCTTTTTTACGGCTATCGGTTAATTTTTTCCAGTTACGGTTAACAACAAAGTTAAAAATTAATTTCTTTTGTTTCATATTTTACGTTACTCGAGTGTCGTTGTGACAAAAAGTTTTAATCATAACCGAAGCAAGATGTGATGAAAATTTGGAAAGCCTAATCTAGAAGTATTCTTGAAAGTGTTCTCTTGTTACGTTTTTTACAACTAAAATGGTAAGAGAAAACAAATTCTATTTGTCTTAGTTTAGTCCTAATCATTTTAGGTCTTAGTGCTAGTGTCGAAGATGAAAATTGAACAGTTGAGTAGTTGAATGTAAAATTAGCCTTGATTTTAACGTCTTACGGCTGGGATTTAGAACAAGTTCGCAAAAATAATTGCAGCAGATTATTTCACGTATATCCTACCTAAAATCGAACTAAAATCGTGACTACTTTTCCGGCATTGAAGAGGAGCAATGCAAAGTTCACGTCACTCGGAAAGTGCCATACTAACTTTGACTGATTGCATCCTTGGCATTAAAATATCACTTATTATCATTCGATGCAAATTTTTCTTCCTTCTCCTTGGCCGAGAGCCCACCACTTGACCTGCAAAATAAATGCTTACAAATAATTGTCTGCTCATGCATATGTCGTCCCTTTTTTGGCTGCAAATAATATTTTGCTCATGCGTAAATGAAACCACTCTTTTCTCTTTCTTGCGATCTCTCTCGGGTAAAAGTGGCAGATCCCTTGGCTGGCCTTTCAGAAACTTTAGAAGAAGATATTTATTACCGGGGGAAAAACAAACTCGATGATCAAATGATAATCATTGAACTCGGTTATCGCAAAATATCGTGATTTGTCATTGTCTCGCAGATTATTTTTTTTGCTTCGCCACTGACAAATCCCGATATTTTACTCAACCTCGTCCAATAAGCAGCAGTTCAGAAGTCCTGTAAGATATGATTTTGTTTTCTTGCCTCGGTCATAAAAAATCAGTTATCGTGAATAGACGATTCGACATGTGGCCACTCATTTTCTGCCGTGTAACACATCTCGTGCTCGTTGAAGGCATGCAATAAGCTGATTCAAGTCAAGCGAAATGAGCAAAGAGTCAGGATTTGAAGATCTCAGCGGCACACGTCTTTTCCCCGAACTTCCCAGAGCAATCAATGATTTTTAGCTTTCTTCTCGCATCGCTTAGGCTTGTGAAAATTGAATTTGTGAAAGTTTACTCTCAGTTTTTTATAACACCTTAACATCTTGGCCCGAGAGCGCCATTCCCAATGTATCTGGAATAAAAAAAAAAATTCTAATAAACTGCGTCCACACGGTTAGATTAAGGTGATTCCCTGGTTTTGCACTGCGCATCTCTTACTGCGCATAACAAGATGGCCGCCGTAGAAAAGAGCATTTGAAGAAACATTATTAAAATGAAGTTGACTGAAGAGAAACGTTATTGGAATTTTTGCTTGCGGTTGTTTCTTCCCGAGGTGAGACTCAAAGTGTTGGGAATGTGCATAACGAAAGCAGTCCTCGTGTTGCTGAGTTCGACTTCCTCAAGGAGAACCTCGATAGTGGATGTTTAACTTGTGCTTACTCACTTTGATTTTCATTTAAACGCTTTCTTTATCACATTGTGTCCTAAATGTGATATTTCGATGTAAGTTCTGTAAAAATGGATTTTTTAATACTTTCTTCCCTTTCACATACATTCTATTTTGAAATTCGCCCCAGTCCTCTCTCAAAAAACGGAGAAATGCATTTGGTGCGCACTTTCTGCAGCTCTACCGCAAAAACGAGTACGGTGACCTCCATTTTTTATTTCATGAGTTTAATAAGGACAGTGCTTCCTTTCGATGAGAAAAAAATTGGCACAAATCTATGTTCAGTTTTTTGGCAATTTTACTAAATTGTACGGATTGAGCTATCANCACCGAGATTGCGTGGGAAGACGCCGTAGCGTTAGAGAAAAACAGAGAATTGTTACATGGAATTGTTGTTTATCGTCGACGTGTTACAAAGAGTGACATCTCTGCGTGTTGCTGTTATTTCGAGGGCACGACCTTTAGAAAATCTCAAATATTAATCCCCAGCAAGAAGCCAGATTTTCGCTATGGAAAAAATTAGTTCCCCGAGAGAGCGGCGGCAGAAATGGAGCCTAGGTCTAGGTGGCCTAGGTCAACACCTAAAAGCTAGGCGCTTGGCCTAACGTGCGTACGCAGTCAAAGTAGCCGGGAAATAAAAACGCAACCATAAGTGAGTTTAGCACCTTCCTTAAAACTAACAAATCCAGGGAACAATTTCTTTTACGGTTAACTCTTTCTTACCCTATTTACGGCTAACGGTTAAAATTTTTCAATTTTTACGGCTATCGACTAAATTTTTGGCCGTTTTACGCCTATCGGTTAACCCCATTGAGACCCTCTTGTAAGTTATATACCAGCGTTCTGGACATATCTCTTCTCTTGTGGAGTCCGTTTCGTTAATTCCATCATACCCTCCTGCCACTTTACCAGAGCAATTGACAAAAGTGATAGAAACTGATGGTGATGATAATGATGATGACGATGATGTGCGTGAAAGATAATAAATGACATGACGCATTCTATAATGTGAACTAGCCCATTCAGTTTCTTTAATAAGATGACTGCACGCTGTTGTGTCCATAAGCATCCTCGCCAACAGGTGTAAACTCAGAAGCCAGGTTTGCTTAAAAATCACCAGTGCCTTGTCTGTCTCTCTTCCCTTTTCCTGTGCCCACTTTATCAAGAGAGGCTAGAGAGCTCTCCATAGCAGCGCGTAGCTCAGTTTGTGATCTTCCTTTCAGTATGTTTTTAGTAGTTAAAAAACTCCGGACATTCCTGATGACTCTAGTACTACAATTTTCTTTCTTGCGATCCTATAAACAAACCTGTTTTCTCACCATCTGTCTAAGTGCAACTTTATTCTAAATTTCGACTTTTAGCGCTTTTCTGTATTATCTCTAAAAGGGCTCGACAGAATTCGTTTTAAACCTCATCACATAATCTTCATGATGTATATATCAACGTCTGAAACTTTCATTAATATTGATGCACCGCAACAACTTGAAATTTTAAGAGGAACCTGGCCTACGAAGCGGCCAAAAATCAGCGTTACAACATTCACTGTTTTAGCGTTATGCTAATTTTTCCATATTCATGCCCATCATACATACCTCCATGACAAGTACATTACATTAAGTATGAATTTTATTGCATATTTTGAACGTAAATCATTAAGTCCATTAACGATATTCACATTGAAATGTACTAGCCATGGAGGTATGTATGGGTTAGTCGGGTTAGTTTTCAGGAGCGCAAGAAAGGAAACACGCTAAACTAATTTCCTAGCATCGAAAAATGATATTACGCAGCTGTCCTCTGACGCTACTTAAGATTAATGTGAGTTGTTTAGAACTTTTTTATTAAACAAGTTATCACGGCTATTGAAAATATAAGGTTTGAAATATATATTTTCGTTTTATTTGAATTCAGACATACAGCCGTGAATTTTTTACTTGTCTCGGAGGTTATTTCCTAAACACATTTAGAGATCTCGCAAAATTCGGATTTTATCGATTTCGAAGTTTTTTGTTTATTTTTGTCATAGTGATATCGATTTTACTAAAAGCTGCATTTTAACAAACTTTAATTCATAGTCAATCACTGGTGAAAATTTTGTCGGGATCAGACAAGGATAAAATCACTTTTAAGGAGATTGAATTGCGTTGTCAGAAACTGACATGCCAATCGGGATGTTACGTCATTCGGTACACTGTAAGAACTCATACATGAAGCAGCTAACCGTATCCTTGTGAAAGCTGGAGCCGAGAAGGAGCCGAGTACAATTATAGGAAAAAGAATCCGAGTATCTCAACAGTTTAATACTTTACAGATAATGCCGTATATCTTCGTTCGCGGCACACTGGATCGTACTGGACTTTTCAGCAATGAAACGTTCATTGACTTTGAAAACGTTGAAGATGGAAACGGCGAATTTGTTGGTGCAATCCTCTCAAGGCAGTTCGGTTGTGCATATTATAGTGTCACTGGACATAATGGATACCCACAACAACAAGGACAACAAATGCAGTGGCAGTTCTGGCCGTTGTCACCCAATACTTTTTGTACGATCGGCGTCGCTATGCAACCAACGGTCGTGCTTAACAGGCTGGAGATCGTGGGCTACAAAGTTGTTGCAGCAAACCAACAGCGTCCTTTATCAGTTCATCGCTCTCTAATTCATCGCCATCAAGGTCAGTGGCCTCCATGCCCAGTGAGTTATACTTTGTGGACTCTACACAAGCCACTGCCCTGAAACATTACAACCAATGCATTGAAATTTAGCAGCTACCAACTTTTTTTTACTATCGTTTCGACTTTTGTAGTTGTACCAGTTTTACCAGTGGGACTGTCGTTGGGGGTTGTTTAAATCAGTAAATTGGATTTAAAGCGAAAGGCAGACCAGTTCAGGGATGCAACTCTCAAGCTTTTTGTCCCTTAAAGACACCAACAAACAGACATCCAAGAGAAGAGTTAGAGAAATTTTAACACTGATACTGTCACCATAGAATGTTTTTTTCTTCTACCATCCATTTCCCCTTTAAAAATTTAAGAATTCATTTCTTTTTCACAGAATTTAGTTTTACAGTGCCTGCTTTCTGGCCTAAGGGACCTATTAGAATTCCTTGCTTAAAACCCTAAGTCATGCCAAAATCTGCAATTTACACCCCTGTAGAGCCTCCTGTAGAAGTCAGAAAGCCTGGGGGAAACTCCCTGTAATTGCCCATATGGAGAGGATCCGCCCCAGAAGGGTACCCTTTCAGGGAAACGATGAACAAATTCTAATCTCGCTCTTCACGCTGAAAACGGCAAACATACAGAATAGTGGTAAAAATTGATCAGCTTTTATCATTACTGTGTGCGTTGTATAGCATGTAGTGATAGTATTATTTTTTTATTATTCCTCTTTAATTGAATCATTAACCACTTTTCTTTTAATGTAATTAGTTTCTTTTATTGGTGTCGCATTGTCACTGAAAAGTCCCAACAGGGGAGTGTCAATAAACTATTTTATTGTATTTCTCCGGGTATATGTAAGGGTATGGGTTTCACTAGTTGAAGCTTTATATGAAAGGTAGGGAAATCTGGGATTGTAGTCTGTGAAAGAACCTAAAAGGGCTAACAGGTGCACTTTATGGCTATGAAAAAGACAAGATAACTTTCTGATGATTTATTTGACAGTACATTTACAACAGTTAAAAGGGATGCAGCAAATTAAATTAGCATGTGAAAGAGGTTCCATTTGTCTATGAAAGGTACACGAAAGGGGCCCCTTGTCAGTCAAAAATGGTATATACAAGGGTAAGCGGTTGGACTTTGGTGCGGAGCCTCCCCAAGTAAAATTTTGTTGAGTAACCCTCCCCTGGGTTGAGAAGCACCCCTGCCACTTGCACCCAGTAGTAATTATAAGTAGGTGTTGACTTGTACAATATGCCCACTTATCCTTGAAGGGCAAATATGAACTTAAGATAGTGTTTATTATTTACTCAAGTTGCAAAACTTGCATAAAGGCAGGTGTATTCTAGTTAGTCTAACACTAATGAGCATTGTATGTTTTTTTTGTCTGTGTGTCTTCTGCTAAATCCAAAACTACAAGGTTGCTAGTTTTTACATACTAACCTATCTCCCTGTTTTTAAAATATTTCTTTTCTAATATAACATAGACCAGTTGAGAGATTGATAGCCAGCCATTTTTATCTCTGACATATGACGCAAAACTTGAAAAGAAAACAGCACATCAAGAAAGTACTGTGCTGTTATTCAGAAGAAAGTTGTTCAAAATATTCAGGCAATAGCCCTATTTATAATACATAGCGAGGTAATGCTTGTAGTGAGTTCAGTTAACCATATGTCTGCAGATGTAGGGATACACCTAGTTGAATTGAGTTTATTTTATATTATCATTTTACATTGCACTAGGATAAAGAGGATATAAACTAGATAAATAGTATAATCTTTGTGCAAATACAGGAAAGAAGAAAATTTTGCAATTAAAGGATTATTTTCCTTTTCCTTGTGTCATTTTTTTTAAAATTTAAATAATAGATAAATAATATCATCAGCTTGGATTTACCAATATTAATTGCAAACATTAGTTGTAACTGTATGAGTAAACCTCTCCTGTATTCCTGGTAACAAAGGCACTAACTCAAAGTGTTGGTTGATAAAATAGAGCAATTTTGTTTATCACATTATCCAAGCTGCAACTTTTTATCATGAAGGTTAAATTTTCAATAGCAACAAAAAGTATTGAACAATGCCAACACGAGGCATTTTACAATCCAGACAAGTGATGCAGACACCTCCACAAGACCACCCTCCTCCCCAGTACTGTGGCACAATCATTTTTTTTAACTGTGTGTTCACCAAAGTAGAATTGGGCGAAAGGTCTTAATGGCTGGTCATGTCACTGGCTTGTTCTAGCAGAATTCATTCTAAAGGTAGTCACTTTTCTAAACTTACTTTTACCCAACCACTGAATGATTTTCCCTGTCCTTAGTAGTTCACGTTAACTTTTCACAAGTTTGGAGAGGTACTTGGAATAAAAGCTACAAATGGGAACTAATAATAATAGTCTTAAATAACAAAACTGGACTATTTTTTTTGGGGGGGGGGGTGGGGGGAATTCAACTCATGCAAAAACAAGTTTGGTGTGGCATGGCCTCTTTAACTACTAGATTCTCGTTACAGTCTCAGGGTTCTTACAAAATATTGCGACCATTTTTGAAGGTCTTTTCATGGCCTTCATTCACTTTTCAATTGCAACTTTGTGGGGGGGGGGGGGGGGGGGGGAATTCAACTCATGCAAAAACAAGTTTGGTGTGGCATGGCCTCTTCAACTACTAGATTCTCGTTACAGTCTCAGGGTTCTTACAAAATATTGCGACCATTTTTGAAGGACTTTTCAAGGACCTCATTCACTTTTCAAGTGCAACCTACCAGGAAAGTAAGTCACAGATGTGTACATAAATGCACATTCTCAGTCCATTCAGCTAACAGGACTTTTAAGGCTTGAACTGTTTGCCCCACCAGTTTCTCTACATTTTTCAGTCTTAAACTGCTAGATAATTCTTGCATAAAACACAAAACATGTTATGTAAATCACCTCTAAATGGTGATTTATATTCTGTCTTGGACAACCAAAAAACATTAAAAGATACTTTCCAGGTCACAGAATTCAAGACTAGCACAGAAATTTAAGGACTTTTCAAGGACCACATTCGCTTTTTAAGGACTTTTGAAGATTGTGCAAACCGTGAGTTTGAGGGTTAAAGGGAAAACATAACAAAAGATAAGGTGTCAATTGAGCCATATAATATTCCAGGAATCTCTTCTAAAGAAGAGGTTATTAAAGTTGATGTAAATTAACCTGAAATGCCTGTTTGGGAGAGCTGAAAAATGCATTTGTACTGAAAAAAGCATCAGATTATTTCTGATATTCTTCTAGATCCTTGTGAGCAAAGGTTTTAAAATACACACTAAGTGTTGCAGTAAAAAAGGATGCTGGTAAAATTGAACAACTTTTCCAAATAATCAGTGTAGTTTCGGAGTAACCTCCACTTTCAAGCAAACTATTTGCATCACTTCACAATATTATCAAATGTTTGACCAAAAATTTCTAATACTTTATTCATTAGGAACAGTTCAAACTAGAAAATGAAGTCATGACAAAATTTAAAAATAACCTTCAATTTACACCTGCCTAATTATAGATACTGTTTATAAGTTCTAAGAACAAAAATGGCTGTCACCATCATGACAAAAAATTAGAAGTTCAGTTGTTCAATGTCTTCAGCTTTTTCCCTGTCATCATTCATCTCAGCATCATCTTCATCCCATAATTTTTTCCACCATGGAAGTTTAAGTCTACGCATATCTTCATTGTGACATTGCTGTGCTCTAGTTATCACAGGCGCTGATCTTGATGTAAAGGCATCAAGACTATCTGTAGCAACATCGTGAAGCTTTGGAGCAGCTGGTGATAAGGGGTTAAAGAACAGAAGTAATGATATTATTAATATTCTTTCTGTAACAATAGTAAGTTGTAAGGACTCAAATTAAACTCTATGCAAAGCAAGTACAAATAACAAATTTTGCTCACCAAGAAGCTGATCTGCATCCACATTCAGTCTGGCCAGCAGTCCTTCTCTCCTTTGCTCAGTCTTTCGTATCTTCATGTTAGACAACATGTGATTGGCAAGTAAGGAAAAAGCCTTTCAGAGAAAAAAATTAAATTAATGGGCAAATGAAGAGATCAACACTACAGTACTTATCACTCCACTAGCCACAGTCTTATTATCCATTTTCTTTGACAGTGTTGAGGCTAACAAGTCAACTAACAGTTGAACCTCCATTTAGCTGCCACCTATTTCAAAAGCGGCAACCTATATTAATATTAAGCATGAACCAGTAATCAAAGTCCTGATTGCAGAAATTAAATAAATTATTGTAAGTTAAATCTCTACAAAGTGGCCAGGGCCACCTTTTGGCCATCCTGTTTGTTTCAAATTATATAAGTGATGATTCTGCTTAAGCCTGGTTCTCATATGCTGCCGATGCACCCGCAACATGGCCGCCGGTAGTGCCTGGGATACTGTTCCGATATGAGAACAGAAGTGGCTGGCAACATTGATGATTCTAGTCTTTACTACCGGCATGACTGTGTAGTTGACTCGAGTTCAACTTTGCAGGCATGCCGGTGGTAAAGCTCTGTGGTGGCAGTGGCTACGTCACAGGTACATCAGTGGTATATGAGAACCAGGCTTTAACAAATGAACCTCTACTGCAGGGTCCAAAATTAACTTATTAATACGGGCGCCAACTGGCGATCAAGTATGAATTTTTGGTCGCCAGGGTGCAAATTGTTGTCGCCAAAAATTTCCCCTCACTTTTTTTCAAATGAAAGTTTAAACACGAATTATAAATGCATGGTATGGACATTTTTATGCTCAAAAATTGCACTACTTCTGCTCTCAATACCAGAAAGCAACCGTACATGGACGAGTGAAGTCTTATTCTTCCACAAATTGCTTTTTGGAGATATAAAGCTATTTGACCTAGAACATAGGAACAGAAAGCTGTCTGCCCATGACTGCACTGATCATATCAAAACTCTCTTTTCTTCCGATAACTAGTCCTACCACAAAACATAAAGTCAAGCCGCCATGTTGCTCGTACAAGGCCACAACTGTGCCACATTACTCGTGCCAGTCCACAAAGTACATAATGTACTTACCGTATTTCAGCTGAAAACAA